GCAGCGCGGGCCGGGGTCCAGCCCGTCTCCCGCCCTCACCCATGGCTGCTTCTCCCAGTACCAGAGGCACCTGTTCGTACACATCAGCCAGCACTGCCCGAGCCCCGGGGCGCCGCCGCTGGAGAGCGTGGATGTCCGGCAGATCTACGACAAGTTCCCTGAGAAGAAGGGGGGTCTGCGGGAGCTGTACGACCGGGGGCCGCCTCACGCCTTCTTCCTGGTCAAGTTCTGGGTGAGTTCTGCGTCCGAATCCAAAGTGCTCAGAAGCCCCATGGCCGCCGGGCCAGGCCTCCGGCTCCACCAGGTCAGCCTGGGCCTTGCTCCTCCTCATGCTGAGTGCCATCCCCTTTGCAGACCGGAGCGCAGGGAGTTTCCCCTCAGAGCGGGGTGCATGGGACCCCTGCCCCCAGACCCCACTAGACGTCGCCACACCAAGTCGTGTGACTGATCCAGCCCTTGGGATTGGGTTGTGTCGTTTCAGACTTCCCTACATCCCACCGGCCACACTAAGCCTTGTTGCTAAGGAGTGCCCTCCTCCCCTTAGCGCACGAAGTCTTGGCTAAAGCTGGTCTCTTAAAGGGGATGCTACCTTCCACCAGACCCTGTTGTTAGACAATGTCTGGCCTTGAGGGTGCCATTGAAGGAGCTGGAGGGGTTGGGGGGGGGGGGCGGGTGACTTTGTAAAGTCCCGTATTTACTGAACAATCTTTTACTGAGCACTTACTGTATACAAAGCCCTATGGCAGGCCCGATATAAATAACTGTGGGTCTTCCTTTTTTAAAGATATATTTTATTGATATTTTCCAGAGAGGAAGGGAGAGAAATAGAGAGTTAGAAACATCGATGAGAGTCATCGATCAGCTGCCTCTTGCACACCCCCCTACTGGGGATGTGCCTGGAACCAAGGTACATGCCCCTGCCCGGAATCGAACCCGGGACCCCTCAGTCAGCAGGTCGGCTCTCTATCCACTGAGCAAACTGGTTTTGGCCTGTGGGTTTTTCTTAGGCCTTTTTGGTTTGCTGTCCAGTACAGTGACTGATGCTATAGGGGTTTAATATATCTGAATGTTTGGGCTGGGAGGGGGTTGTTAACTCTCGTGGTAACCAGGGCAGTGGAGGGATCTAGTCTCTGGGAAGGAAGCCTTGCAGAGGGCTTGAAGTTTGCTGGCCTTGCTGGACCCGTAGCGTCTGCGGTGACCAAGAGTTCTAGCGTGTGACGTGGAGGCCCGAGACGGCTCGGGGATGAGCTGCTGGGGTCCGTGGGCGTTGCTGGGGCTGAAGACGGGCCGTGCCAGGTGCCGGCGGTGGAGAGCGACCCTTAGGAGCCAGCATCGGAAGGGACGCAGGGAGCGGCTGGAGCGGCCTCAGTGTTTGTCTGGCTCCGCCAGGCCCGGGTGCGAGGGGGATGGGTGGAGCCAGGCCTCGGAGGACAGGACCTGGTCCAGCTGGTAACTCAGGTTGGGACGAGGAGGAGGCCTGCCTCCCGGGAAGGTGAGGAGGTGACCCAGCGGCTCAGGCCGAAGGTGACGCGAGGTCTCAGACCCCCGCCTGGCATAGCGATCGTCTGCTCACGCGGCCCCTGGGACGTGAGGGGTCCGACCTCTGAGGACCAGCGGGAAGGGCCCGGGAGGCTGTTCCGAAGAGGAGCAAGGCCCCTTTGCTAGGAAGTAGCCCCTCGTCTTAGCAACCAGGGCTGCCAAGGGCTCTGAGGAAGAGCCTCTGGTTGCTAGGCAATAGCTCCCTCCTTAGTAACCAGGCCCTTGGAGGAGGCTGAACTCTTGAGTTGGGGGCTTCAGTAGCAAACCTGTCGACTAGCAGGGCTCCTTGGGCGGGGGGCTCACTGGGGAGAGAGGGGTCAGGGTCATTTTGGGGATCCAGGCTTCTGAAGCACTGCTGGAAGGGACGGTCTTCAGAAGCCAGCTCCTGGAAGAGAGGGGTGGGGACTTTGAGCTCTGAGGAAGGGAGGTGGGCAGCTATGGGGCAAATGGGAGAAACCAGACCATGAGTTACTTCTAACAGAGTTCCTGTGTTACAGGCATCTCCATCGTTTACTCATTCATTCATTTATTTATTTAATATATTTTATTGATTTTTCACAGAGAGGAAGGAAGAGGGATAGAGAGCTAGAAACATCGATGAAAGAGAAACATCGATCAGCTGCCTCCTGCACACCCCCTACTAGGGATGTGCCCGCAACCAAGGTACATGCCCTTGACCGGAATCGAACTCGGGACCCTTCAGTCCGCAGACCGACGCTCTATCCACTGAGCCAAACCGGTTTCGGCCATTTATTCATTTATTTAAAAGTATTTTTTTTAATTGATTTTAGAAAGGAAGGGATAGGGAGATAGAAACATCAGTGATGAGCCCTAGCTGGTTTGGCTCAGTGGCTAGAGCATTGGTCTGCGGCCTAAAGGGCCCCAGGTTTGATTCTGGTCAAGGGCACATGCCTGTTTGCTGTTGGCTCGGTCCCCAGTGTGGGCATGAGGGAGGCAGCCAATCAATGATCATTGATGTTTTTAGCTCTCCTCTCTCTCTCTCTCTTTCCCTCTCCCTTCCTCTCTGAAATCAATAAAAAGAGAAAAGAAGAAATGAAACATATTTGATGAGAGAGAATCATGGATCGGCTGCCTCCTGCACGCCCCACACTGGGGATCAAGCCCACAACCCGGACATGTGCCCTGACTGGGAATCGAGCTGTGTCCTCCTGGTTCATAGGTCGCCGCTCAACCACTGAGCCATCCCAGCCGGGCCGAGTCTCCACCATTTATTCGTGTAAGGGGCTTCTATTAAGGGCTGTCTCCTCCAACTCAGCCTGTGTCTCCCCTCCCCCCAGGCGGACCTGAACTGGGGCCCGAGTGGTGAGGAGGTGGGGGCCGCGGGCAGCAGCGGCGGCTTCTATGGCGTGAGCAGCCAGTACGAGAGCCTGGAGCACATGACCCTCACCTGCTCCTCCAAGGTCTGCTCCTTCGGCAAGCAGGTGGTGGAGAAAGTGGAGGTGAGGCCGGGGGTGAGCTCCCGGGCCCCTGGCAGTCTGGGGGTGCAGAGGGGGTGCAGGGTAAATAAACGGACCGGGAGCCATGACAGCTCAGGCTTTGGGGTCATCTTCATGGGGGTTGGCCCAGCCGCTCTGGGGGGTTAACGCATAGGCTTAAGGCGAATGTGGAGTTCTAAAGTCACGTGTAAGGGTCCCTTTGAGGGCTCAAAGGTCACGTGCGAGGCAGAGGCACAGTCCCTGAGATGCAGGAGATTCCTGGGAATCTGGAAGCGTCCACAGGGCAAGGAGGCTCGGCGGTCACAGCGGGCTGCCGAGGGCTTGCTGGGTCTCCGTTTCCAAGCTTATAGAGTTTGGGGATCTCACGGAGGGGCCTGGGGGGCCTGAGGGCACCAGAGGTCAGAGGAGTTCAGAGGTCACGGAGGGTTCAGACAGAGCCCGGCTTTGAGGGGCCGGGGGTGTGTCTGGTTTGCAGGCTCAGGGGTCCCGAGTTGGATACCTGAGGGTTCAGGCCTGTCTGCGGTCCCTGCAGGCGGGGCAGCGGGAGGGGGAGGATGGCAGTGTGTGTGGGGGTGGGGCTGGGCTCCTGGGGGGACCCCTGTGTGTCTCAGTCACCGTCCCCCCACGCCCCACCCCCCGCGCAGACGGAGCGCGCCCAGCTGGAGGACGGGAGGTTCGTGTACCGCCTGCTGCGCTCGCCCATGTGCGAGTACCTGGTGAACTTCCTGCACAAGCTGCGGCAGCTGCCGGAGCGCTACATGATGAACAGTGTGCTGGAGAACTTCACCATCCTCCAGGTGTGGAGGGCAGGCTCCCCGCAGCCCCTCGGCCCAGACCCTCTCACCTGGGGACTGACCCAGTGGGGACCCTGCAGCTGACCCGGGGGTTAGGGGATCCCGTTACCCTGGGACCTGATAGGGTGGGGACTCCCCAGCATTCTCATGAGGGACCCCATTCCCTGGGGAGCTGACCTGGAGGATTCGTGGTGGGTCCTCGGCTAAGGGGCCCTCACCCTAGTCCAGGAAACACGATTTGGTGGGTTCCCTTTGCCTCAGGGGAACGTGCTGAGCGGGGGACCTTTCACTGGGAAACGTGACGCGGGGCCGTCCTGGGCCTGGGAACACGTGACCCCACCATCTGATGCGAGGCCCTTGGCGGGCGTTGAGCAGCCGCTCTGCCTGGGACCCTGACATGGCGGAGACCTCCTCCTGGGGCCCCTGATGACCGAGGGAGGCACAGGGGGCCCTTCTAAGCACAAATGCCGTGTCCGGCCCCCCGGCAGGTGGTGACAAACCGAGACACGCAGGAGCTGCTGCTCTGCACGGCCTACGTCTTCGAGGTCTCCACCAGCGAGCGGGGCGCCCAGCACCACATCTACCGCCTGGTCAGGGACTGAAGGGGGGACCCCGAAAGTGGCTCAGCCCCGGAACAGCTCCTCCCAGGAAGGACCTCCAGCTTGCCGCAGCCTCCGGGGAGAGGGGGCTGCTCCTGTCGGAGGGGCCTTGCAAGCCGGGCGACAGAGAGGAAGGGACGACGGATCCTGACGCAGGGACCTCACGGGGCTGTGGGAGGGCAGTCACCCCGGAGCCCGGGGTCTGGCCTCTGTCTCTACTGGGGGCCCCCACTCCGTTGTGCCTGGGTGTTTGGGGGAGCCCTACTTACATATTGGCTTGTCCTCTTTGTTTTCCAACCCCCCCTTTTCCCAGTCTGCCTCCCCTATCACCCCCACACCCTGTGACCCCATATCAAGTATTGAAGGTTAACCCTTTCTGTGCAGGGCCAGGTGGGCCCTGGAAATTTTTTTTTTTTTAATATAACATATTTATAAGTGGGTGTTAGGGTCGTGACTTTTTTCTCAGCTGGGCAAGCACTGGGGGGAGGGGGGGGGAGCTTTTTAACGTCTCCCCTCTTCTACCTGAGCCAGGGCTAGCCTGTCTTGTTCACCACCACCCCCTCCCGCCCCCAAATTGTGTTGGTTTGTGTTTTGACAGAGGATAAAAGCTATTTTTACCAAAACGTAGGGGGTTTATTTGAAGTTTGAGTGAGAAATAATAATCTTGTGGGCGATGGTAGACTGACAAATGAGTCACCGAAATGAGGTATCTTTGGGGACCGGAAGTTGGTGGTGGGAAACCCCAAGACCCACAAGAGAGGTGACAGCAGTGGGGCAGGCAGACACCTGGGTGGGTCTGGGGGCGGGGGGGAGGAGGCAGGGGGCTCAATGCCAGGGGAGAACTGGGGCTTAAACAAATATTTACAGGCCACAGGGAAGTAAGTGCCCAGGGCACTGGGAGGTTGGGGGCGGGGCTTCGGGGAGGGCGGGGCCTGGGGAGGGCGGGGCCTATCGGTACCGGGCGAGCCTGTCGTAGACGTGGTCCAGGTTTCTGCACAGGAATATGGACAGCGTCATGAAGCTGAGCTACAGAGAGAGGAGACGCTATCAGAGAGGTCGAGGCGGGTGGCGATGAGAGGAAGATGGGGTGGTGGGGGCTCTGAGGGAGGAAAGCCAGGGGGCGGGGCCCGAAAAGGAAATGAGACACGGAGTTGGGTAGGGCGGGGCTAGAGGGAGCACCGGGCCTGGTTGTGAAAGATGGGGTCCAGGAAGGGAGTTTGGGGGAAGATAAGGAAAGTGGGGGATGGTGGAGTTAAGGGTAAAAAAAAAAAAAAAAGGCCAGGGGGTCACGGGATAGGTCACCGAAGGCGCGGACCGGCCGGGAGGTAGGGGTGGTGGGGGAGGTTTGGGGGGGGAGAGACCAGCTGCGTCTAGCGCAGGTCTAAGTAGAGAGATCTGGAGCCAGCCCAGGGTCCTTTATTCCGGAGGCCCATCCCGCTTCCCCGCCGCCGCCTCTGCCTCGGGCTGCTCCTCGTCTCGTTCCCACAGCGGCCAGGGCCCCTGGGCCATGGGCAGCTTGCCCTGCGGGGCCTTGTCCCCCCAGTTGGGGCAAGCATCCGCCATGCCCCTGCCACCCCACACACTGCCGCTCCGCCCGCTGCTGCTCTGCACGCCGCCGCGCCCGTTGCCGCCAGCGGCGCTCAGGCCGGGCCCTGGGCGCGAACCCGCGGCGCCCGGCGCCTGCGGCTGGGTTTTCCGGCCGATGGCGCTGCGTGGCATGAGCAGGCTCAGCCCGGCCACACTCACCTGCCGGAAAGCGGAGGGCTATTGCGGACAAAAGGGAGGCCCGCGGTGGAGAGCGGGGAATGCCCCCCGGTGCCGGGTCTCAGCCCCAGGCCCAGGCGCAGCGGCAGGAAGGATGGATGGGCTGCGGCCTTTGGGGCGGGGCTACCTGGGGCGGCACCGCCCATCGGGAGGGAGGCTGGGGCCCCGTTACCTCGAGCAGGCCGACGCCCAGGCAGATGCCCACGATGGAGATGAGGTTGTTGTGCAGCCACTTCTGCAGGCTCCGCGCGCAGCCCTGGGAGAGCGGGGAGAGGTTAAGGGGCAGGGCTTTCCCTGGGGTTCGCGCTCTCGCCCTGTTCCCTAGTTACCGGGCTTCGCTCAAAACAAACCTAGCCCCGCCCCAGGCATCAGCGGTCCAGGTCCTCCCCTCCGCCTTAGGCCCCGCCTTCCCAAGAACCCGCCCCCCTTTAAAAAATATATATTTTATTGATTTTTTTTTTTTTTTTTTTTTTTTTTTTTTTTTTTTTTTTACAGAGAGGAAGGGTGAGGGATAGAGAGAAACACCGACCAGCTGCCTCCTACTGGGATTGCACACCTCCTACTGGGATTGTGCCCGCAACCAAGGTCCATGCCCTTGAGCGGAATCGAACCCGGGACCACTCAGTCTGCTGGCCGATGCTCTATCCACTGAGCTGAACTGGTTCGGGCAAGAACCCGCCCCTTATGGGCCTTCGCCGCTCAGGCCGCACCGTTATTTCTCGGAGCCCCACCCCGCCTTCAGACCCCCACCCCGCCTTCAGACCCGCCCCCACGGTGCGGTCCCCCTCCCCCAGCCCCTACCTCGCCGTAGGTGAGTCTGGTTTTGGGGTCGGAGGCGCACAGGTCCGCGCTGTGCCTGGGCCGCGCCAGGGGCCCGCCCCGGCTGAACTGGGAGAGGGAGGCCATGTCGGGGATGGCCGAGTCGTTGGTTGCCGACCAGTTGTTGCAGGAGCAGGGCAGGCGGAACTCCGACGCGTTGTTGCTCAGGCTGGGGGCCCGGGACCAGTCCTGGGGAGAGTGCCAGCCGCAGCAGCGCAGCTGGGAGAGGGGCAGGGTCAGAGGGACCGGGCGGGAGGGTGCAGGATGATCAGGGGCCGGTGATTGGTATGAGGTCAAGTTGGGAGCAGAGGGCCGAGCGATGGTACAGGGTGGGTGCGGTGGGCTGGGGTCAAGGGGACACTAGGGGAACATGGGAGAGACGAATTTTGGGGCGACCTGGGGCTAGGGGAGAAGCTGCACAATCACGCCCTGGACCGGAAGTTGGGTGGGCGGTGCTTTCAGCCTTAGGGAGCAGGTGGATGGGATGGGAAGGCGCGGCCACAGAGTGACCAGAGAACCGAGGCTCACGTGGAACCAGAGTCACTAGGGGCAGGGACTGGGGTCACGCTGGGGCCTTGGGGGTGAGGGCGGGTCCCGCTGGGGCAGAGGTCGGAGCCTTTCCCGGGTCTGGCTGGGGCTGGGGAGCTGGGCCATAATGCCTTGGGGCAGAGGCTTCCCCGGGTAGCGGGGCGGGAGTGGGGTGGAGAGTGGGGTGCGCAGGCTGGGTTGCATTGGGGCAGAGTCTCCCCCGGGTAGCGGGCGGCGTGGGGCTCACGCACCTGGAACTGCACGTAGTCCCAGCTCTCCTCGGCCGCGGACCTCTCCGGGTCCGAGTGGTAGTTCTGGATCGTCTCCAGCACGAAGTCCTTCACTTTCCGCTCCAGCTGAGAGGAGGCCGAGAGTGAGGCGGGAGCCCCATCTGCCTCCCCCCCACCCCGCATCTGTGCCCACCCAAGGGGTCCCTGAGCCTCGGTTCTTCACCCGTGTCTCTTCCTCAAAACCTTCCTCTGCCCTTTCCTACCGTCCCTCTGCTTCTCTCATCACCTCCCGCGACTTCTCACGAGGTCTCTGTGTCCTCTGCGGGCCTCTGTTTCTCTCTCCTGCCTCCCTCTGGATCTCTCTCCTCTTCCATCCGTGCAGGTCTCTGCCTCTCCCCGTCTCTATCTCTCTGTGTCTCTCTCAGTGTCTGTATTTGTTCTGTCCTCCTGGCTGTTTCTCTCTTCTGCTTCTCTGTTATTTGTCTGTCAGTCCCTGTCTGCCTCCAAGTCCACCCACTAGCTGGGTAAGGGGCGGTGTGGGGGGGTGAGGGGGCAAGCTTACCAGGGTCTTCTGAGTGGAAATGAGGATCCCCAGGGTGATCTGGGTGACGAACAGAAGCAGGAGCATCCCGAAGTACTGGGGGGCGGAGCGGAGCAGTCAGGCCGAGCCCAGCCCAGGGAAGGGGGGAGTGGTCCTGGGGATGGATGGAGGGGGCGGGCACTCACCAGGCCCAGGAGGCAGCGGAGCTCCTTGAGGGCCCCCACGCAGCCCAGGAGGGCCAGGCCCATGGTGAGGACCCCCGAGACGGCCAGCGCCTTGGACCAGATCTGCAGCGGCATGAAGGACAAGCCTGGGGGAGGCGAGACGGGGACGCTGAGTCTTCTGGGCGCGGCACCAGGCAGCCCCCGGCCCGTTCCCCGCCCGCAGTGTCCTGGGGGCTTCTTTCTGGGCGCTGGGGCACCCCCTTCTCTGGGCCTCTCACCCTACCCACCCTGAGCCTCTGCCCCCTCTTCCGGATTCTCTTCTCCCTCTCTGATTCTCTGTCCCTCTGCCTCCCTTCAGCTCTCGGTCTCTCTCCTCCTCCAGCTCCTTCTCACTCCCAGTGGTTTCAGCCCCATCCCTTGTTCTGCCAACATCGGATGAGTCACTTTCACTTCCCTGAGGCCTAGGGGTGATGCTAGGTGATGCTATCTATTTCCTGGGGTGGCTTTGAGGGACCTGGGAGGGATGCGCTCAATCCAGTCCTCAACACAGTGCAAACACATGAAATAGGAACCATCGGGAGTTTGGCTATTACCCCATTATTTTCCTATTATTATTGTTTTTAAAAATATATTTTTTTATTGAATTTTTACAAAGAGGAAGGGAGAGGGATAGAGAGTTTGAAACACCGATGAGAGAGAAACATCGACCAGCCCCCTCGGCACACCTCCCACCGGGGATGTGCCCACATCCAAGGTACATGCCCTTGACCGGAATCGAACCTGGGACCTCTCAGTCCACAGACCGACACTCTATCCACTGAGCCAAACCGGTTTCGGCTATTTTCCTATTATTATTATTATTATTATTATTATTATTATTTTTATTGTTGTTATATCTAGGTTACTTCCTTGCTGTGTGACATCCAGTATGTGACTCCCCCTCTCTGAATCTCAGGAAAGGCTATGGGGAGGGTCTGATGGGCATTTGCACAAGGTCTGACACATAGGAAGTGCCCAAGAAATGACTGTTACTGTTCTTAGTGCTATGCACACCCATTTGTCCTGAGGCCTGGAGAGGCGTGGCAGCGGCAGGCTGTGCAGAGCCTGGGAGCTGCCTGCGGAATTGGCACCAGCACCAGCGGGGGCTCCAGGGACAGGGGAGATCCAGGAGGCTACTTGCTGGGAGGTTGGGTCCTTGCTGTTCCGGGAAGGCCCTCCCCGCCTGCCCTGCCCCCTCACCCACAAAGGACACGAAGCTGGTCTTGTCCACGAGTATCCAGATCCCGAAGCAGAAAATCAGGCTGCCCAGGACCTTGGGGGAGGAGAGGGGAGGAGAGGAGAATATGGGGGTGGGCAAGTAGGGATACGAGGTGGGCTGGGCTGGGGTGGCAAGGGCAGGGCCCGGGGCCCAGGCTGGATAGCCGTGAGACAACTTACGAAAAAGAAGAGGTTGAAAACGAAGAGGAGGTACTTGATGAGGCTGAGGCAGCTGTCCTGGGCCGCCATCGTCGAATGGAGGGGTGAGTGACCAGAAGAGGGTTGGCAGTGGGGAGACGGGGAGACAGAAGCCGTGAGCGGAGGAGGAGAGGCCGAGACAGACAGAAAGGAAGGACCCAGAGAAAGAGGAAGTGCCAGGGGTGGAGCCTCGCCCCCTGCCTCTACGCACAAGGTGGTTTTTGATTCTGTCTCCGTCCCTGGCTCCCGCCCCACCCCCTGGGACACACACCCCAGTACCCGAGGGGCCTTGGAATTTGTGGTCACCAAGGACATGCCGGGCCCTTCCTCCCAGGGGTCCATGGCTCAGGGACTCCTCATCCTCTTGTACCCACTTACTCGGGGCACTAGGCCCCCAGGCTGGCCCCGGACAGCAGCCGACCTCACAGACACTCTGACCTCCCTGCCTGCTGGGCTCTGCCATCCCTGCATCCATCCCTGTCCCCACTTCCCAGTCTCAGGTCCCTCGTCCTTCCCTCTCTGGGTCTGTTTCCTTCTCGCTGAGTCTTTTTATTTGTATGTCCTCCTCCCCCCTTTGTGTGTGTGTGTGTGTGTGTGTGTGTGTGTGTATTTCTCTCTGGGTTTAATATATATATATATATATTTCAGAGAGGGAGAGATAGAAACATCAATGATGAGAGAGAACCACTCTTTGGCCCCGTCATCTCCCACCCTGACCAGGAATCAAACTGTATATAGGCAGATGCTCAACCACTGAGCCACACCAGTGTGGTTCTCCCTGAGTCTTAGTCTTTCTCTGAATGTCTGTCCCTCTCACTCTGGGTTTCTTGCTCCCCCAACCTCGGAGTCTCTATCCTCTCCCTCTTGTCTCCGCACGGCTGTCCTTTCTCTACTGAGCACTCTCCCCGCTTCGGTCGCTGCCCCTCTCTCAGAGGCTGCATCCTGTTTTTGGCAACAAGTGTAGGGCAGGTGCACCCTGTGCTGGGGCAGAGCTGGGCACTTGGGGGAAGTGAAAGTGTCGCAGGCCCCAATGGGAAGGTCCCTGGGAGCGAGAGGGGTGGCCGGGCAGTGGCACCCGAGCGGAAGCTGAGCCTCAGGCAGCACTTCCTGCCTCTGCAGGGGGCCCCAGAGGAGGCCCCGGAGGAGCCAGGGCGGAGCTGGGGATTCAGGACCTGCTCTCTCTCCACCTGGGCTGCATACTTACTTAGCAGCCTCTGAAGTCTCCCCTGACACCCCACAGGCTCCCCGCTCTTGTCAAACCCTGCATCTCACAGATTTCCATCGTAAAGCAGGGATGTCACCAAACCTAAAATAATGAACAGGTTCACCATCTCCTATGGTCTGTGTGTCTGGTGAGAACACTGAAGATCTACCGTATTTTTCGGACCATAAGACGCACTTTTTCCCCCCCAGAAGTGGGGGGGGGGGAAAGTCCCTGCGTCTTATGGTCCAAATATAGCCTACACATATACTTTAAAAAAAAAGTTTTTTTACTTGCCCGGCTCTGTGTGGTCTCTGTGTGCTTGCCGGGCTCTAAAATGGTTCTAAATGCTGCTGTTTACTTTACAGGGTTGATTACATGTGTTTATGACTGTGATGTTGGGTTTTAATGCACATAAAATATTTTAGGACACTATTTGTTTCAGAATCTTTTTTTCTTCATTTCCCTTCTCTAAAAACTGGTGCGTCTTATGGTCCGGAGCGTCTTATGGTCCGAAAAATACGGTACTTTTAGCAACTTTCCAGTATACGGTATACAGTACTATCTATAATAATGAAAGCATAATATGCAAATTAGGCCGGACAGCTGAATGACCTTCCGGATGAAGTCAGGGCTGTGAGGGCCCATCCCCTTGCACAAATTACGTGCTTCAGGCCTCTAGTGAAGTATAAGCACCATGCTATAAGTTAGATCAGTGTTTCCCAAAGTGTGGTACGGATACCCCCAGGGGTACGGGAAAAGTTTGGTGGGGATATGCACTGCACTGTGCTTAGCTGCACCTAATTCTGCGTTCTCATGAGTACGAGGGGTACTCAGCGTTACGGAAATTATAGAAGGGGTACACATATGTCAACTGTTAGATCCTTAGAATTTATTCTTAACTGAAAGTTTATATCCTTTGACCTACATCTCCCCATTTCCAGCCCCTGGCAACCACCATTCCACTCTGTTACTATTATTAAAAATAAAATTTTTTTCACACATAAATGACGTTTCCCCCTTTATTAATCCTTACCTGAGGATATTTTCCCACTGTTTTTCAGAGGGAGTCAAGGGAGGGGGAGAGGCAGAAACACACACACACACACACACACACACACACACAGTCGGGTTGCCCATCTCCCAGAAGCCACAACCCAGGCACCTGCCCTTGACAGGGAATTGAACCTGTGACCCTTGGGGTGCGGCTGATGTTCTAGTCTTTTCCTGTCTAATTTCACCTGGTATAATGCCTTCCAGTTCCATCCATGCTGCAAATGGTAGGATTTCCTTTTTTACGGCTGAATAATACTCTGTCCTTAGTGTGTTGTGTGTGTGTGTGTGGGGGGGCGGCCATGGCCCATAAGCAGCAAGAGAAGCACAAGCGCATGCGTGGGCGGCATAGACGCAGGGCCCATGCTTGAGTGCGTAAGCGCGTGCACGGAGGGAGGAAGTTGAAAAGGGCGGGAGGGGGAGGGATGTGACACCATTGGCTGCTGGTCACGTGGGAGTCTCCGAGGAGAGGCGGGGCCAGGAGAGCGGGAGGGGGAGGGAAGTGGCACCATTGGCTGCTGGTCACGTGGGAGTCTCCGAGGAGAGGCGGGGCCAGGAGAGCATGGCGCATGCGCAGAGGAACTGAAGTGCCGCGTGGAGCGAGCCGGCCTCGAGGCGTGAAGGGGCCCGAGGGCGTCGCTGGGCTTCTCAGTTGGGGCTTCTTGATCCTCGTTGTCGCCTAACTGACGGGACCGAAGTGGCCAGGCCGCAGGGCCAGGGTGAGGACGACTTGGCCCTCGGGAGCCCAGAAACGCTCGTAGATTTGGGGGTGCGGGGCCGGTCCTCCCTCCCCCGTCCCCGGGGTGTAACAGCCGGGCCTCCTGGCCGCCCGCGTCTGCGGAACTGAGGGACCAGAGGGGCCTCAGAGGTCCCCCCTGTTTCCTCCCTCGGAGCCCCTTTGCCCGTCCAGTCTGACTTGGAGCGATGCCGAGGCCTGCCCACGGGTGGAAGCCAGGGGTTCGAGTTCCCCGACAGAGGGGTCCAACCCCATCACAGGCCTTTGGGGACCAACAGGGACTTCCTGCGCCTTGGGGGACCCGGACAGCAGCTCCTTCCTTCCTTTCCTCGGCGGAGGCTGCGGGTCCAAGGATGAGGCAGACGAGCGTTTCCGGGCGATGCGCTCAGGAGGGTGATGGCCGGGAAAGGCGATGTGGAGCCTGCAGGTTGGGCCGGAACCAGGACCCCTCCAGCTCCCGAGAACGGTCTGCCCCGGAAACCAAGGGGTTTATGGGTGTCACAGGCCGCCTGTTCCCAGAATCTCAGTTTGCCAAAACTCACTTCTGTCTCCGAAAGGCCAGATCACCAATTTACCACCCTCCCACCCCCAAACTTTTATTTATTTATTTTTAAAAATACATTTTATTGATTTTTCTACAGAGAGGAAGGGAGAGGGATAGAGAGCTAGAAACATCGATTCAGCTGCCTCCTGCACCCCCCCCCTCCCCAATTGGGAATGTGCCGGCAACCAAGGTACATGCCCTTGGCCGGAATCGAACCTGGGACCCCCTCAGTCCGCAGGCCAACGCTCTATCCACTGAGCCAAACTGGCCAGGGCCCCCCAAACTGTTTCAAGGAATACGATTTTTGAATGTGTTCAAGAAAGGTGGATATATTTTTCATGAGCACAAGTTTCCCTTTTTCTTTCTCTTTTTGGCGGGACACTGGTCATTACCGCTCTCTTCCTCTCCACCCCACCAAGGGAAGCAAAACCCAAGTGAAAGAAGTCTCTATAGGACTCTTTGTCATCACCTTATTTGACTTTGTGTTGGTAATCTGAGACTCTTATTTTTTCTATCTTTAGCTGTCGTGACAGCATTTTCTTAGGGCATTTCTCCTAATTAATTCCCTGGCCATTTTTCTGTTCTTTTAAAATGTATTTTTATTGATTTCGGAGAGGAAGGGAGAGGGGGAGAGATAGAAACATCAATGCTGAGCGAGAACCATTCATCAGCTGCCTTCTGCACGATCTACACTGGGAATGGAGCCCCCAACCTGGACATGTACCCCGACTGGGTGATGCTGGTCTTGTTGAACGAGTTAGAAAGTCCTCTCTCTGCTTCTATCCTCTGAAAGAGATTGTAGAGAATTTGTATAATTTCTTCTTTAAATATTTCTTAGACTTGATCAGTGAAGCCATTGCATCCTGTTCTTTTTTCTTTTTCTGCACACTCCCTGCCCATTCTCTCATAAAGTATTTGAGGAGCCAAGGAAAGATCAGAATGGTGGAAGCACAGAGAGCAGAGAGGAGACTGGCCCCAAATATGAGATAGAGCACCATCCTCTTGCTGGGGATAGAGCAGCTGGGGAGGGAAGGGGAGATGGACAATAGCTACACTGAGAGGCTAGATTATTATGATCTCTGAAAGCATAATAATATGGCCACTCAGTGTATGTCCTCCTATATAATAAAAGACTAATATGCAAACTGTCCCCTCAACCAAGAGTGACCAGCAGGCAGGCTGGCCAACCGCTCATGTCCCCTCCCCCTGGCCAGGCTGGCCAGACCCCACCCATGCATGAATTCATACACTGGGCCTCTAATATGTATATGTGTTACACACACACACACACGCACACACACACACACTGAGTGGCCAGATATTATGCGTTCAGAGGTCGTAATAGTCTGGCCACTCAGTGTAGACTACCAATCAATAGTTAATCACATCAGGAGGTGAGAAATGCTATGAAGAAAAATAAAAGTGGGTAGGATGGAGAGAGTGGTGGATAAGTAGGCTACCATTTTAGATAGGTGGGCAGGGAAGGCACCTCTGGTGAGGTGATATTTGAACAGAGACCTGACTGTTTTACCGATGAGAAAGCTCAGAGAGGGAAAACAATTTTCCTATGATCACAAGACAGAGTTAGTGTTGAATTAGTTTCTTTGATTCAAAAGCCCACGAAAAATAGTATGTCCCTCTGTAGGGAATACACATCAGTATTTTTAGAAACTTCTTGAATGGGATTCCAGACTATTGTTAGCTTTTCTATCTCTACTCTTTTTTTTTAAAATATATATTTTATTGATTTTTCACAGAGAGGAAGAGAGAGGGATAGAGAGTTAGAAACATCGATGCGAGAGAATCATCGATCAGCTGCCTCTTGCACACCCCTTACTGGGGATGTGCCTGCAACCAAGGTACATGCCCTTGACCGGAATCGAACCCGGGACCTTTCAGTCCGCAGGCCGACGCTCTATCCACTGAGCCAAACCTGTTTCGGCTCTATCTCTACTCTTAACTCTTGCACCAAAGCGTTTCTAAGAAGTAAAACTCATGTCAGAGAATTTTGTGCTTTGAATTTCAGTGGTGGTTAGGGGCAGAAATAAAAGGTTTGCTTTAAGCGGGTGCTGAGGATTAGTTTGAAACTCAAAACCTAACCTCTGGTTTCCGGTGTCCTTAAGGTCTTCTCGGGAAGGCGGCCCCTCCCTTGAAAAAATGAGAGCTGCTCCGGGGAGTGTGTCTGAAGTGGAGACAGAGGCCCAGTCTTCGCAGGCAAAAGATTAAACCATGGCGTCCGCCGTTGCAGAGGGCGCTCCAAGATCCCCAACTCAGGAGGAGAAGGGCACAGGGTACCTGCCTCTGTTGCCCTTCGATAAACAGGGTTTGGATGTCCAAATTGCAGAGGCTGATTCCTGGGATGTCCAGACTCAGGGAAGCAAGAGCCAGGAAGTTAGCAAATCCTCTTTCTGGGAGAACGGCGATGCCCCGGTGAGACAGAAATCCTCACTTACTCTGTTAACCGAGCGGGATGTATAAATACGTCAAACGTAAACAATATCGCGTACGGGTAGGACGTATGAATACGCCCCGAAACGGGCGGGACATATATTTCCAAACAAAGGTATTAGTCATCCATACATGTCTCCACATGAATTTAAGACAGGGAGGGAATCAGTATAATCTCGCTATTGAGAGTGGTGGACGTGTTCTGGGTGAGCAGTGACCGGTACGTACTTACACTTACCTACCTATTTTCGTATTATATATTATTTACTTATATTTTTTATATCTCCAACATTTATAGAATAAAAAAACATATAAAATTGATCCAATCATCAATTTGTCAGAAAAGTTTTAAAGTTTTTATGTATGTAAACGAGAAGTATGCGTAGATGAATCTCTTTTATTATGGAAAGGGAATTTATCTTGGAAACAATATCTACAAAAAGAGCTAGGTTTGGAATGAAGTTGTTTATGTTGAGTGAAAGCCAATCTGGATATGTACAAAATATAATTTTATACACAGGCAAGGACACAAATTATGGTTCGAACTACCCACAAGAAAAACAATCAACAAGAATTGTTTTGAAGTTAACACATGACTTACTGAATAAAGGGTATAGGACTTACTTAGATAATTTCTATACGTCAATTCATTTGGCTGAACTCTTGTGTCAAAACAATACAGACATTGTTGGAACAATGAGGATAAACAGCGTCGGAATCCCCAATGAAATAAAAACAAAAAAATTACAGAAAAATGAACATATGTAAGAATCAAAGACAAACTTATGGTTTTAAAATGGAAGGATAAAAAAGACGTATTGGTGCTCAGTTCTATTCATAATGACAAAAAGACAATGATTGAAAAGAGAGGAAGAAGGCAAGAAAAACGGAATGTTGTCCTAGATTATAACAAGAATATGGGCGGCATAGATTTGGGAGATGGAGTTATGGTGGCCTATATGGCTGCCCGTAATAGGGTAAAAAAAATTTATGATTAATTGATACGTGCTGCTTCAATGCATATATTATATACAAAAAAGATAAAGGTCATTTGGATCGATTACACTTTTTTGATAGATTGTGTAGAGAAATTGGTAGATAACAACATAGTGAAAACCCACCCAAAGACATCAACAAGCAGCTCTACATCTAAACCATCACGCTTAGTTGAAAGGCATTTTCCAGAACAAATGAAAAGCGATATAGGAAAAACTAAATCCAGGAAATGCCGAGTTTGCTACAAAAAAGGTGTTAGGAAAGAATCTACATACTGGTGTCCGGATTGTAAGGTAGCACTATGTATCAACAATTGTTTTAAAATATATCACACGGAAGTTGAGTTTTGAATTTTTACATCTATATTTCAATTTTTTAAACTCAATATTTCTATTTTATTTGTGTGCTTTTATTCTGTAATTGTTAACTTTTTATATTTTTTATTGTGTATAGAAATAAAAATATAGTTTATAAAATTTATAATTTTTTATAAAATTTATAATTTTTGATGTTTCCATTTTTTTGTAGGTATTCTTTTCTATTTGTTTGTAATTTTGTATTTTCCTTTGTGCTTTATATATAAATAAACAAAAAATATATATTTCATTTATTTTAATTAAGTATAAATAAAAAAAATAATAATATAAAATTACGTCCACTGGGCGTGACGTACTACACGTCCTAGTGAAAGAGTATGTGCCCGTTGTTCATTGTGTAATTAAAAAGGGAACTCCCCGGTTTCAGGTTAAGACGATGGCGTTATTCGAGAAGGAAGAGAGTGAGAGCGGCTACACCCGTCCACTCTGGCCCAGCAAGGACACGTTCATCCTCTCCCTGCTGGGCTTCTCCTTGAGGGCACTCAATTTCTGGCGTTTTCCATACCTGTGGCTTCACAATGGAGGCTGTAAGTCTGGGGACCGGGGGTCATGGGACCACAAAGGGTTAGCAAGACAGACTTACTTATCCAGGCCTCGGACTGCGAGGTCTCTGGGACCTGTAGAGGCTGGAGACTTGGTGCTCTGAGCAGGATAGGAGCCAGCTGTGTGCACACCGAGGGTGGTGAGAGGGTCGAGGTGCGGGACACCTGAACATGATGGTGGGGTCGAAGCCTGTATTGGGGTTGGGGTGGAAACTGTGTATCTGGGTCTTCCGGGAATTGGGGGACAAGGAGCTGGACGTCTGGGGCTTTAAGGGATGTGGAAATAGTTACAGCCTCATGCCTGTGGCCCTGAGGGAGGTCCCTGGTAGGGAAGGTCTTTTTCTGAACTCCCAACGAAACCCACATGCTGAGAAGCCAGATGATCTTCAGAGCCCTTCCTTAAATCCCCTGCACAGGGAGCTTTTTCCTCATCTACTTGGTCTTGCTGTTTGTGGTCGGGATTCCTCTCCTCTTCCTCGAGATGGCGGTTGGTCAGAGGATGCGCCAGAATAGCGTTTTCTCCTGGGCTGTCATTAGCCCTTGGTTTAGTGGTGTGGGGTTTAGCAGCTTAATGGTGAGGAGCCCTGGCTGCCCAGGCTTGCCCTTGACATCCCACCCCCATCCCTGCCCTCGTCCTGGAAGGGGTCCCCTGATTTCACTTCCATGGGTCAAGTCCCTTCGTTCCTTCAATCCTCTGTCAAATCCCCTCCTTTGGCCCGTCCCCCCTTTTCCTCTCCTGCCGCCTCCTTCCTGGCCCCGCAGGTGAGCTTCATCACCGCCATGTACTTGAACGTGGTCAATGCCTGGATCCTCTTCTACTTGGGCCAGTCCTTCCACTTCTCCACCCTGTGGCGGCAGTGTCCTCTGCTGAAGAATGCCAGTAGCTTTGGTGAGGAGGAGGCGGAAGAGAAAGGGGACTCAAAGGTGGGAGGGGATTTGGAAGAGGAGAAAGGAGTGAGTGAGGAGGGATAAAGAAGAAGCAGGTAGCAGAAGGAAGAAGAAATGAGAGGAAGAGGAGGTGGGGAAGGGTTAATGAAGAGGGAAACGGTCAGCCTGTCTAGCAAGGGAATCCAAAGCCAGATCCCCCCAGATCCCGAATGTGCACGGACAGCGCCCTCCATGTACTTCTGGTACCGGATGACCCTGAGGGCCTCGGACAGAATCGAGGACAGAGGGCCGCCGGCCGTCACTCTGCTCCTGCCCCTTCTGATTGCTTGGTGTCTGGTTGGCATTTTCATGATTAATGGGATCAGAGGCATCGCGAGGGTGAGTCTCCATTTTTGGATTCCTTAATAGGCTCAGACGCTTACGTCCTCAACTAACATGACTACTCATTGATCTTCTGATTTCCCGCTCCCTCTGGCATCTCATTCCCACTAGCCCCTGAACCCTGCTGAAAGCGACCTTCTATTCCTCCTCATTTCTGGCTCAGAATGTTTTATCCCTGCTGACTGCTGATTGACCCTCCCCCGCCACCGGTACATGGTTGCTGATATGCCCTCTCCTGAATTCAGGTAGAGTATGTCTTGATACCATTGACCACTATCAACATAATCCTTTTCTTCGTCCGGAGTTTACTGCTGACCGGGGCACAAAACGGGCTTCGATACTTGACATTTATGAAGGTATATCGTCTCCTCTCCCCTCTCAGACCTTAGAGGACACCTGTTGTCTGTTCTTGGTATCCTTTCCCCACTCCATCCCTTTGTATCCCTGTGTTTTGTTAAGGTTCTCCTCCTCTTTGACATCTCTCCGTATTCTTCACCTCTCCCTTGTAGGTGTCATGTATGTACAGCCTCAGATCGTGGGTCCAAGCTGGGGTGCAAGTCTTATTTGCCTTAGGGCTCGGCTACGGGCCTGCTGTTGTTTACTCCTCATACGTGGACCAGCCCAGCAACTGTCTCAATGATGCGTTTATTCTGGCTTTTGTCAACCTGGGCTTCTCTGTCCTCTCCTCACCTTTTATCTTCAGTGTGCTGGGCTTCTGGGCCACCATCATCACGCAGAACTGCGCTGCGAAGTAAGGCCAGCCCCTTAGTTGGGAGTTTCAGCCTCAGGGAACTACAAAACCCAGAGGCCACAAAGCCCCACCTCCACCCAGGTGCCCTAGAGTGAAAAACAGAGACGAGAGAATCCCTGTCGCAGGTTACCCTCTCAGAGTCCTGTTCTAGCCCTGGGACTCTTCCATGTCAGAGATTGCCAATGCTCACCTCAGCGTATCTCCACAGAGAAATTCAAAAACATAGCCAACAGTCAAGGTTAGTCTCAGACAGCCTCTGAGACCACACCTTCGGAACACCCTTCTGCTCCCGAATGCCGTCATTCTTTACCGGCAACTCCGGAATGGAGGGGTATCAGTCCACCTGTCAAACGTCAGCCCCACCAGGACGTGAGCCTGGATTGTCTCCTCAGCCTGTCCCGTTCTGTAGGCAAGAAGGAGAACTGTCCCTCAGGCGTCTGGAAAGGGCTCTGTGTGGATCAGACCACAGTCCTTGCCTTCATTGTGTTGCCCGTTTTGGAGGGAGGAAGGGAAGGGGTGTAGATACTTCATCACAATCATAAAGTCATGATAGCTGGTGGCAGGAGTGATGGGAAGACAGAAGACAAAGCCTCGGCTAGTCAGGGAAGGCCTTCTAGACGAGGCAAACCTAAGCTGAGTTTGTCCCCAGCGTCCTAACCGGTAACTAACCACCAGAAGAACATACAGTCTCTTAGTTTATACAATTGGATTAAACTATACTTATAAGCCTCGGCAAGCATTAGTAGAGAAGGAGCAGCGAGCTGATGTCTAAGGACTTGTAGAATTCACCAAGCGGAGAACGGTGGTGGGGGTGGGTTGGTCTTGGGCATAAGGCTCTGGCAAGCCCTGAAACTGGAAGTGGTCAAATCTGACCACAGCACACAATGTGCAGAGGGCCGTGGGGGGGCAACACAAGGTGAGAGAGGCCAACAGAGCTCAGATGAAAAAAGACCGAGAAACTTCTCATAGCTCAGCCTCCTGGGAGAGTTATGCACTGTCCCCTAAGTGCACAGTGCTTCCTCATCCTCGGTATGCAAAGCTTCGAAGGTTGACTTTTGCCTACGAGTCTAAAACGGGAGGAAAGGTCAGAACCGGTGTGGTTGAGTGGATAGAGCACCGGCCTGTGGACTGAAGGGTTTCAGGTTCGATTCCGGTCAGGGGCATGGACCTTGGTTGCGGGCACATCCCCTGTGGGGGGTGTGCAGGAAGCAGCTGATCCATGATGTTTCTAACTCTCTACCCCTCTCCCTTCCTCTCTGTAAAAAAAAAAAAAAAAAAAAAAAAAAAAAAGTCAATAAAATATATTTAAAAATAAAACGGGGGGAAGGGCAGAGGTGAGGATGAGGAAGAGACTTCATCCCTAGAGCGGGGACCCCAGAGTCCCCGGAAGACTGTAGGAAAGGCTGTTCTTGGTATCCTTTCATGACCCCGAAGGTGGGTGCCATTTCAGTTTCCTCCCAGGCTAGACCAGTAATGAGAAGCTAGAGATGTCCTCTCTCCTCTGGAAGATAAGGGGCCAGATGGTTCTATGTGATTCAACTTTTTATCCCCAGGAATTCCGAACTGCTCTTGAAACTGGTACTTGAGGGGAAGCTGCCTACTGAGGCCTTTCCCCCTTCAAACATGCAAACTCTTCCAGCCACCGTCTTCAACTCCTGGCTGAACAAGCTTTCCAAGCGCACCAAGAACATGGTCCTCAAATACGTCACTGAGTGCGACCTGGAGAAGCAGTTTATGAAGGTTGGTAACAATAGGCGCTCTGGGCTGAGAGCTCCTTAATGCCTTCTGTAAAATAGAAATCTCATCTTTTATGAGCACCAGAAGAAGAAAAAAAATCCCAGAGACACCGGGATAACCTGCAGCCCTGGTAATGCAAGGAAGTATAGCTTACCGAATGGCAGGCCCAGGATAATGCTGGGGGGATTGGTTTTCCTTGTCTGAGAGTCAGCTTGAAGATCGGGTTTTCTCAGTGACCCAAGGCTTTTAGGAAGTTTTCCAGGGAAGAGAGAATATCTTTATCTCTCCAAAATCCGTTTGGCTCAGTAGATAGAGCATCGGCCTGCGGACTGAAAGGTCCCAGGTTCAATTCAGGTCAAGGGCATGTGCCTTAGTTGCGGGCACATCCCCAGTAGGGGGTGTGCAAGAGGCAGCTGATCGATGATTCTCTTTCATCAATGTTTCTAACTCTATCCCTCTCTCTTTCTCTCTGTGAAAAATCAATAAAATATATTTTAAAAATACATTAACAACATCAAAAAAAAGATTAAACCTTAAAAAAAATATCTTTATCTGCATAGTTGTTACGTTCAAGAACACTTTCACTCGGGACTTTTCTCCCCCTTCACAGGTTAAGGAGGGCCCAAACTTTGCATTCCTGGCCTTTATTGAAGCCATATCCTTCGTCCCTGGGTCTGCCTTCTGGTCCATTCTCTTCTTCCTGCTCTTGCTGAGCCTGGAGATGAATTGCATGATAGGGCTTCTGCAGAGCGTCCTGACTCCGCTCCAGGACACCTTTGCTTTCTGCAGGAACCATGCAAAGCTATTTAGAGGTACTCCAACCTATGTATGGCCCTCCTCCCCCCACTGGCCCTGGTTTTACTGAGACTCTAAGCCAGCCCCGGCAATAACCCCTGCTTAGGCCCCTCCTCCCCCAGGCAGACCTCTGACCTTGATCCACGTTCAATGTTTCTTCCAGTGTTTCTCTTTGGGCTCATGTTCCTGTGCGGCACCTTCTTCATTAAACCTGCAGGCGTCTACTACATCGTACTGCTGGCTGATTACTGGATGGTCCTCCCCATCATCTTCATTATCATCTTTGAAAACGTGGCCGTGAGCTGGGCCTATGGGTCCAGGAGGTGATCACTTGGGGCTAAGGGAAGGGTGACCTCTTTCTTTATTTCTTTTTTTTTTCTTTTTAATATATTTTTCTTGGTTTCAGAGAGGAAAGGAGAGGGAGAGAATTGTTAATGATGAGAGAGAATCCTTGATCGGCTGCCTGCTGAATATCCCCACGACCCAGGCAGGTGCCCTGGCCAGAAATTGAACTGTGACCTCCTGCTGTATGGGTTGATGCTCAACCACTGAGCCACCCTGGGGGAACTGACCCCTTCCTTTTGCCTCCATTCTCACTCAGCTGGAGCGACACTAGGGACCCTCAACTTTAGGGCCTTCTGCGAAACCTTTTAATTCACTCATTTATTGAACATATTTATTAAATACTTACTATGTGCCAGGCACTTTTTTTAGGCCCCGGACAGAGTCTCAAATGAAACAGTCACACAGGTCCTCAGGGGGTTTACATTCTAGTGGTAGAGATAGTCGCCAAATGAACAACAACAACAACAACAAAAATGTTCGTTGGTAATAACTGACAGGAGAAAAATCAGAGAATAAGGTAAAACGATCAAGAGTGTGAGTTTGTATGGGTGTCAATTGAGGTAGGATTGCAAGAAAGACCTCTCCAATGAGACATTTGAGCAGACTCCTGAATGAAGGAGTCGGATGGGATTCTGGGAAAGTGTGCTCCAAGGAGAGGGAGCATTCGGTACCACGGAAGCATTATGCCTGGAGGCTGTAAGGAACGAGGAGATCAGAGAGGTCGGAATAGGATCCTATATAATAAAAGCCTAATATGCTAAGAGTCTGACCATTTGACCAGTTGCTATGATGCACACTGACCACCATGGGGCAGACACTCCCACCAGTAGATTAGCTTGCTGCTGGGGTCTGGCCAGTTGGGATTGGGCAAGACCGGTGGGCCGGACACACCCTAGTGCCCTCCCGAAGACAATTGAGACCTCTTGGCCTGGCCTGTGCCCTCTCACAATCTGGGATCCCTTGGGAGATGTCAGAGAGCAGTTTCGGCCGATCCTCACAGGCCAGGCCGAGGGCCCCCGGGGACTGGGCCTGGCCCAGCAGTCAGAAATCCCTCTCGTACTCCGGGGCTCTCACAGTCCAGGACTGTGGGCTTGCCAGCCGTGAGCCTGGCTTCTGGCTGAGCGGTGCTCCCCGTATGGGAGCGCACTGACCAGGGGCAGCTCCTGCATTGAGTGTCTGCCCCCTGGTGGTCAGTGCACGTCACAGTGACCAGTCTTTCCACAGTTCAGTGGACTCGTGTATCACACTTTCATTATATAGGATGACAGAGGAGGCACTAGAGAGTTTTGAGTAGGGGAAAGACATAATCAGGTGAAAAATTTTAAATCTTCAACCAAGTATACTTTTTCCATTGATTTCCAGAGAGAGTGGAAGGGAGGGAGGAGGGAGTGAGGGAGAGAGAGAGAGAGAGAGAGAGAGAGAGAGAGAGGAGAGAAACATTGATGGACTGTCCTCGTAAGCACTCCCACAAGGACTGGGAACCTGCAACAGAGGTACTTACCTTGATTGGGAATGGAACCTGTGACCCTATGGCCAGGGCCAGATTTATTAAAACAAACACCTATATCCCGGCTGGTGTGGTTCAGTGGTTGAGCATTGACCAGGAGATCACTGGTCAGGGCACATGCCTAGGTGGGACATTACAGAAGGCAGATAATCAATGATTCTCTCTCATCATTGATGTATCTACCTCTCTCTCCCTCTCCCTTCCTCTCTGAAATCAATACAAATATATATATATTTTTAAAGAACATACCTGTAATTGCTTTATGGAGAATAGACTATGAGGAGTCAAAAGCAAAGCAAGGAGAACAGCAGTGAGTTATTGTAATATTGTGAATGGGAGCTAACAACAGCTTAGGCTAGGTGTTAGAGGGGTAGATGGAGAGATGTGGTCTGATTCTTCAAGGAAGAATGATCAGGGGAGAGAGGACAAAATAGCCAGGGACCGGAAATTAGTAGCTATAACTGGAGTGGGAGAGTGGGAGAGCCCAAGTCAGACATGGGATTCCTGAGCCCAGCTTTTTACCAGGCTGGTATGCGGACATCCAAGTGGGAGGATTCAAGGGCAGAAGGCTCAGAGGACAGTGTTTGCAGGTGACAGTAGTTCTTGGAGTCAGTTCACTCACATTTACTTACTCCACAAATATTTCTTTTATACACACACACACACACACACATATATATATATATATATATATATATATATGTGTGTGTGTGTGTGTGTGTGTGTGTGTATATATATATATATATATATATATATATATATTGATTTTTTTACAGAGAGGAAGACAGAGGGATAGAGAGTTAGAAACATCGATGAAAGAGAATCATCGATCAGCTGCCTCTTGCACACCCCCTACTGGGGATGTGCCCGCAACCAAGGTACATGCCCTTGACCGGAATCAAACTTGGGACCTTTCAGTCCACAGACTGACGCTCTACCGCTGAGCCAAACCGGTTTCGGCCACAAATATTTCTTGAGACTTTCTCTGTGTGGAGAAAGCCTTGTAGTACTTGGATACAAATGACTTAAAATTAGCTCCTGTTGCGGGTTGGGGGGTGGGGGAGTGGGGAGGTGGAGCACAGAGTCCAAAGAGGAAGACAGATGTAAGCAATCGCGGTACAAGTTGGTTAGTCCAGAGGAGAGGTGCTGGCAGCACCGGAGGGTAAGGTGACCAGACGTCCCGCTTCTTAACAATTTGTCTCGCGTCCCGCGGCATTTTAAAAAATCGGGACTTTTTTAAAACGCTGCGGAACAAATCGTTAAAAATCGGGACTGTCGCCGAAGCCGGTTTGGCTCAGTGGTGGAGCATTGGTCTGCGGACTGAAGGGTCACAGGTTCGATTCCGGTCAAGGGCATGTGCCTTGGTTGCGGGCACATCCCCAGTGGTGGGGGTGCGGGAGGCAGCTGGTCGATGTTTCTCTCTCATCGACGTTTCTGGCTCTCTATTTCTCTCCCTTCCTCTCTGTAAAAAATCAATAAAATATATATTTTAAAAAATCGGGACTGTCCCGCCAAAATATTGGCGGGACGTCTGGTCACCTTACTGTAGGGGCACTGGAAGGTCAGAGGAGGTATCTTAGAGGAGAAGACAATTGAGCAGAGTCTGGACAGATGAATAGTCTGGACCAAAGGACCCCACGTGTATATTTATTCAGTTTGAGAACACGCACTGAAGGAGGCTGGATAGATGGGCTGGAAGAAACTAAGAAAAATTCCCTGAGGGTTGCATGTTAACTTTATTGGGGCCTGTGTGTGTGCACCTAGAATAGTCCCTGGCACATCTTAAATACTCTCATGTTGGTTTTTTTTTTTTTGTAACATATTTTATTGATATTTTACAGAGAGGAAAGGAGAGGGATAGAGAGTTAGAAACATCGATGAGAGAGAAACATCGATCAGCCGCCTCCCGCACACCCCCCACTGGGGATGAGCCCGCAACCAAGGCACATGCCCTTGACTGGAACCGAACCTGGGACCCTTCAGTCTGCAGGCCGATGCTCTACCCACTGAGCCACTCCAGTTTCGGCAATACTCATGTTTTTGGAATGAATGAAAGGTTTTAGAGCGGGAGAGGAATGGTTACCATTTGTTCTCGGGTTGGGAGAAGAGACGAGAAGAAAAGGAGGCCTGAGCTGAGGCAGGAGTTTGGAAGCGAGGTAGAATATTTGAAAGACGCTAAGTAAGCTCGATCAGGTCAGGCCGGCCTCGCCCCCGAAGGAAGGGGCAGGCTGGGCTGGGCCTGCCACCGTCTCGCGGCCCTTTCCTCCAGGTTTCTTGCAGAACTGGGGACTCTGTGGAACCACCCCATCCATCCCATCTTTCACTGGCTGTGGTGCTGCGTGTGTCCAGCTGTGCTGACGGGCCTGTTCGCTGCAATCCTGTCTTTCCAAAATATGAAGAACTTCACTTATGTGGCCTGGGACTCTAGTACTGTGAGCCTCCCTCCCCAGACCCCGGACTGCCCCGAGGGCGGGGGCCAGATCTTTCCATCCACTCTTGGCCCATAGGGACTTTCTTTCTTTCTTTCTTTCTTTCTTTCTTTCTTTCTTTCTTTCTTTCTTTCTTTTTTTTTAATATATTTTATTGATTTTTTACAGAGAGGAAGGGAGAGAGCTAGAGAGCTAGAAACGTCGATAAGAGAGAAACATCGACCAGCTGCCTCTTGCACACCCTCTACCGGGGATGTGCCTGCAACCAATGTACATGCCCTTGACCGGAATCGAACCTGGGACCTTTCAGTCCTCAGACCGACGTTCTACCACTGAGCCACACCGGCTTCAGCTCCAGGGACTTTTCTAATGCTCTGCTCCCTGAACTCGCAGTCCTCTGCCCGGGCTCCCCTCCTTCTCCTCCCTTCCACAGTCTTCCCTCTTCTAGGCGCTTCAGTGTTCTGAACCCCTTCCCCATCTCTCCACAGTCACAACAGGTGTATCGACCCTACCCATCATGGGTGCTGTTCCTGATGATTTCCGTCTTCCTCGTCATCACCCTCCCCATCCCCTTATACTCTGTGTACAGCTACACCCACGGTACTCCCTTCAAGCCTAGAAGCTTGGATGGCTCTCTCACATCCTCCAGGCCCAAAAGTGAGGACCAACCGACGGAAGCCCCACAAGCTAGCAGTGAACCTGCTGGTCCGTCAGTTGTATGACATCTTCACTTCCTTGATGTGGCCTGACATCGCACATCCTTCGAAGCAGATCGAACTGGCAACTCATAACTACCAACTGGTATGTCCTTGGACCCAGAACTCCTTCTGTTCCCAAGAATATAGCGTTATTTGGGGGGCCCTTGGGACCTGGCTTTGCAGACCCCCTCCTAGACCCCTCTGTTGCCACTGTCATTGCCCCCACCCCCTTTCTCGGTGTGGACACATACGCACTGTCGGTGATGCAAACCAAAACCTGGAGCTGGAGGAGTAATGCTGTTGATCAATAAATCAATCCAAGCACTGGGTGTGAACAGATCTGTTTTTATTTTCTATAAATGGCTCAGATAGTCAGTCTTACTCTCAGGGGGCTGCCATCCCTTGGAGAGCTAAATATTCAGACCTGCGCTCCTGCCCTCTCCTTGATGTGGCAAATTCGGATGCGAGATGACTAGACTTGCTTTATCCAGGGGCTAGCCTTTAGCCAAGAAAAACCCAGGATGTGGTGGTTTCAGCCAAGATGGGAGGGATATTAATGTGCTTGTTAATGGGACACGGGACTCCTATCATCGGTCTAAATATTTAAAAATATATATTTTGATATTTTACAGAGAGGGAGGGAGGGAGATAGATACATCGATCAGCTGCCTCCTGCACATCCCCCACCGGGAATGTGCCCGCAACCAAGGTGCATGCCCATGACCAGAATCGAACCCAGGACTCTTCAGTCTGCAGGCTGACGCTCTATCCACTGAGCCAAACCGGTTTGGGCTAAATTTTTCATTAGAGTTTCCAAGACTGTCCTGCTGGCTCAGTCGGTGGAGCATGGTCCTATGCACAGAAAGGTGGAGGGCTTGGTTCCTGGTCAGGGCGTGTAGGGGAGGCAACAGATACATGTTCCTCACATCTGTATTTCTCTCTCCCTCTCCCTCCCCCTCTCTCTAAAATCAGTAAAAACGTCTTTGAATGAGGGGGGGCGGAATACAGTCTCCACTAAGCCATTCACACAGACTAAGCGGCCCGTCAATAACACAACCAGTTTGGGAACTACCAGATTGTACTCTGAGCCCACCAGGGCGCCGTATCCGCGTGGTAAGTTACCTTTTGCCCACAGGGCTGAATTTACTTAGTGGATGAGAGCTGAGTGGGTCTCGGGGAACTTGTAGGAGCGGTTGAGTCCACAGCGGAGCTGAGGTGTTCGCCAAAAGGAGGAGGAGGAAGAGGAGGAGGAGGAGGAGGAGGAGGAGGAGGAGTCAGCCAGTGGCTGGCGCGGGGGCTTGTGGGGAGAGGTGGTTGGGATTCCCGAAGATCCAAGGTTTCATTTAGGATTTGATGCTCCAGAAACTCCAGGATTGCGGCTTGCTCGGCTCCCCCGGGGAGACCATCTCCGCGCACGTCCCCGTGACGAAGGCAGGAAAAGCAGACCTTCCTGACCATTCGTTGGCGGGCGGAACCCTAGGGGCGGGGGCGGTGAATGGGAAGAGCAGGGACGCCCCCAACGTCTGCGGACCCCAGCAGTTCCACCGCGACCCTCCTCCCTCCGGCTCGAGGAGGGAGGGCGGGGCGCCGTGCTCCTCCCCCTCCGCCCCCATTGGCTCCCGCGCCTCGTAGCCCCGCCCCCGCAGCCCCGCCCCATCCAAACGATCTGCCCCCTGAGGACTCCTGCTATTGAGTCAGGTAAGGCGGGAATGGGCGGGAGGACAGGCCCCTCCTCACGATCAAAGGGCCCGAGTTAAAGGCTCCTTCCTCTCGGGGGCCCAGGTGTCCGTCCTCCCCGCGCCCCCCGGCCTCCAGGCCCAGCTCCGGGAGGAGAGCCGTGGGAGAGGCACTGACAAGCAGGGGCTTACCGGATAAACCGATGGGAGCGGAACCAAGATCTTGATTGATGTGTGCCGCTCTCCTCCTCCTCCTCCTCCTGCCTCCTCCTCCTTCTCCTCCTCCTCCTCCTCCTCCTCCTCCTCCTCCTCCTCCTCCCCTCCTCCTCCTGCCTCCTGCCTCCTCCTCCCTCTCCTCCTCTCCTCCTCCTCCTCCGCCTCCTCCTCCTCTTCCTCCTCCTCCCTCCTCCTCCTCCTCCTCCTCCTCCTCCTCCTGCCTCCTCCTCCTCCTTCCCTCCTCCTCCTCCTCCTCCTGCCCTCCTCCTCCTCCTCCTCCTCCTCCTTCCTCCTCCTCCTCCTCCTCCTCCTCCTCCTCCTCCTCCTCCTCCTCCTCCTCCTCCTCCTCCTCCCCTCCCCCTCCTTCCTCCTCCTCCTCCTCCCTCCTGCCTCTCCTGCCTCCTCCTCCTCCTCCTCCTCCGCCTCCTCCTGCCTCCTCCTCCCCCTCCTCCTCCTCCTCCTCCTCCTCTTCCTCCTCCTTCTCCTCTAGATCTCTCTTCTGCAGCGGCAGGCGGAAGGCCTCTCCGTTTGTTTAAATGGGGAGCACCCCACTTTGCTGTACTGATTACCGCGGAAGACTGGTTTCTATCATGGGGACTTCACACGGGTCCGGGGTCCTCACTGCAGACAGTGCGGTTTCTGGGCGCCTTGTGTCTGAGCAGGTCATCTTCCGGACCGCTGTTAGAAGTTTCTGGCCTTGCCAAGACCGGTTTGGCTTTTTGGATAGAACGTCGGCTTGGGGACTGAAGGGTCCCGGGTTCGATTCTGGTCAAAGGCATGTACCTTGGTTGCGGGCATATCCCCAGTAGGGGGTGTGCAAGAGGCAGCTGATCGATGACTCTCTCTCATCGATGTGCCTAGCTCTCTATCCCTCTCCCTTCTTCTCTGTACAAAATCAATAAAAAATATTTAAAAAAAAAGAAGTTTCTGGCCTTGATAGACAGAAAGATTCTCTCTTATCATTGATGTTTCTATCCCTCCTCCCTTTTTCTCTGAAGTCAATATATATATATTTATTTAAAAAATAAAACTGCTATAGGTTTCCATAGATGGCTTCTACGATGTTGAGGTAGTTTCCTTTCATTCACACTTTTTGAATGTGTTTATCACGAGAGCATGTTGGATTTTGTCAAATCCTTTTTACGCATCTATTTAGATGATTTTAACCCTTCATTCTGTTAACACTTAAAGGACTGGTGCACAGATTTGTGCACACGCAAAGGAAATTGATTAGGAGGTGGCTGGTGGGGTGGGACGGGGTGAGAAGGGCTAGACGCTCCCTGGAGCCAACCTCCCACGGTCCTTCCCCAGTGGGCTGCCCTTGGGGTGGTGCCCAGGCCAGAAGGGCATCGGCAGTCAGCAGGGTCCCTCCGGCAGGGTTCTTCAGCCTGACCTGCAGGGATTGGGCCCAAACCGCAGTGTGTGTGTGTGTGTGTGTGTGTGTGTGTGTGTGTGTGTGTATTTATTTATTTATTTATTTGAGGCCTGGTGCATTGAATACGTGCATGGGTGAGGTCCGGCCAGGGGAAGGGGATATGGGCGGTTGGCCAGCCTGCCTGCTGGTTGAACTCCTGGTCGAGGGAACAGTTTGCATATTAGTCTTTTATTATATAGGATAGACACTGCGTGGCCAGATTGTTATGTGTTCAGAGGTCATAGTAATCTGGCCACTCGGTGTACATAGATAGTTATTTTACATTGATACACTTTCATGTGTTGAATCATCCTGTGTTTCAGACATAAATCCCACGTTGTCATGGTCTATTATACTTTTAATAGGCTGCTGATTTAGTTTGCCAGTATTTCGCTTTGGGTTTTTGCATCTATATTTATCAGGGAGATTGGTCTGTAGTTTTCTTTGGCTTTTCTATCAGGGTAATGCTGGCTTAGAAAGTGTTTCCTCCTCCTTAACGTTTTAAATTTTTTTTCTTCTTTTTAAAAAAATAAATCTTTATTGTTCATATTATTACAAATGTTCCTCATTTCCCCCCCTCCATTGCTCCCCTCCACCAGGTTCCCACACCTCACTCTGCCCTTTCCCTACCCCCCACTGTCCTCATCCATAGGTGCACAGTTTATGTTCAGTCTCTTCCCGTACCCCCCACTCCTCTTTTCCCCGAGAATTGTCAGTCCACTCCCCTTCCATACCTCTGATTCTATTATACCCACCAGTTAATATTGTTCATCAGACTTTTTAATTCCCTTGGTTTTTAGATTCACTTGTTGATAGTTACGTATTTGTTGTTCATAATTTTTTTAAAATATATTTTTATTGATTTTGTACAGAGAGGAAGGGAGAGAGACAGAGAGCTAGAAACATCGATGAGAGAGAGTCATCGATCAGCTGCCTCTTGCACACCCCCTACCGGGGATATGCTCTCAACCAAGGTACATGCCCTCGACCGGAATCGAATCCGGGACCTCTCAGTCCCCAAGCCGATGCTCCATCCATTGAGCCAAACCGGTTTCGGCTGTTGTTCATAATTTTTATCTTTATTTTCTTCCTCTTCCTAAAGAACCCCCTTCAGCAATTCATATAATTCTGGTTTGGCGGTGATGAACTCCTTTAGCTTTTTTATTTTATTTGTGAAGCTCTTTATCTGGCCTTCGATTCTGAGTGATAGCTTTGCTGGATAGAGTATTTTTGGCTGTGGGTTCTTGCTATTCATCACCTTGAATATTTCTTGCCATTCCCATCTGGCCTGCATGGGTTCTGTTGAGAAATCAGCTGACAATCGTATAGGTGCTCCTTTATAGGTAACTACCTTCTTTGCTCTTGCTTCTTTTAATATTCTCTCTTTGTCTTTTGCTCTTGGAATTTTAAGTATGATGTGTCTCGGTGTGGTCCTCTTTGGATTCCTTTTGTTTGGAGTTCTGTGCGCTTCCTGGACTTGTAAGTCTAATTCTTTCACCAGGTGGGGGAAGTTTTCTGTCACTATTTCTTTCAGTATGTTTTCGGTATTTTGCTCTCTCTCTTCTTCTGCGACTCCCATAATTCTGATGTTGGTTCACTTGAAGTTGTCCCAGAGGTTTCTTACATTATCTTCAACTTTCTGGATTCTCTTGTCTTCTTGCTTCTGTGAAGGAGTGTCTTCTGGCTCTTTATGTTTCAAATCTTGACTTGATTCTTGTGATCTTCCATTCTGTTTTTAGGACTGTATAATATTTTTTATGTCAGAGAATGTATTCTTTATTTCTAGTTGATCCCTTTTTATTTCTAGTTGATCCTTTTTCATATCCTCATAGGTCTTGTTTATTTTATTGGCCTTTTCTAGGAAATTCTTGAAAAACCTTATAAGCGTGGTTTTAAACTCTATATCCAGTTGCTTTTTGTCCTCCGTTTCTTTTGTTTGTGATCTATTTCCTTGTCTCGGCATTTTCACAGCTTCCCTGAGTTGGTAGGGTGGCTTTATGTGATAAGGTGTCCTATATGGTTCAGTGGGTCAGTCTCCCAGTTACCTGAGGTGGACACTCTTGGTGCCCTCTTTTGTGGACTGTGTGTACAGCCTTGTTGTATTTAAGTCTTGATTGTTGTTGGTATCACTGGGAGGAACTGACCACCAGGCCAATTGGCTGTGAGGATCACCTGTGCCAATGCCAGCAGACAGCCTTATTCGACTAGACTTGGAAAATTGTAAAAACCTCTGTGCTCAGCTTGGATGGGGCGGAGTTTCAGGGTGGAGCCTACAGCCTTGGCTTCTCGTCAGCCCTGCCCTATGAGGTTCCTGAGTCTCAGTGTTCCTCAGTGTCCTTCAGTACTGGCTGCAAGCACCTTTGAGAGAAAGGTGCCCTCGAGTTTCGCCCACCACCAAACAGTCTAGTCTCTCCCAATGAGCCCAAAACTGGGGTTCAGTGTAGTTGGAAGTGGGGTTCAGAGCAGTCCAGAGCTTTTGTCTCCTTCCTGCTAGGGCAATCCAGCAGCAGAGTCAACAGTCCGTCCTCTGTGCGCAATGTGTGCACTTCTGGGACTGCCTTTCGCTGCTCCTCTGAGTTTCCGCCTTACAGCCCAGACTCCCTCCGTATGAGCCTGGTTCCCCAGGGTCTCACCCAGAACTGGGGTTCAGTGCTGTCGGAGCTGGGGTTCAGCACAGTCTGGAGCTTTTATCTACTTCCCGCTAGGGAACCCCATTCAGGCACTCAGCCACCCCTCCTCTCCAGCTCGGTCCTCTCCCCGAGTGCACTGTCTCCGTACCTTAGGCTTTTACAGCTCCTCTGATTTTCCTTCTGGTTTTCTCTTTCCTTCTAGTTGTAGAATTTCCAGTCACTCAGTTTTTCTGTAGTTCTGGATAATGTCCATTTTGTATTTTAGTTGTATTTTCTTTGAAATTGTTGTGTGAGGCTGCAGTTAGGCGTTTACCTATGCCGCCATCTTGGTTTCTCCCCCTCCTCCTTAATTTTTTATAAAAGTTTGAAGAAAATGGATACTAGTCTCTCTTTAACTGTTTGTTATTCAGCGAAGCCATTAGGTCCAGGGCTTTTCTTTGTTGGGAGATATTCTTTGGGGGGGAGAGGGGGCCCAGAGATTTTTTAAATTACTGATTTCATCTCCTGCCTAGTATGTTGAGTCAGATTTGCTATTTCTTTGTGATTTAGTCTTGGTAAATTTTCTGTTTCTATGAGTTTTCCATTTTATTTAGATTGTCCGTGTTTTTTTGGTGTATAATTGTTCATAGTCCTCTCTTGTAATCCTTTCTTTAAAAAATCCATATTTTTATTGATTTCAGAGAGGAAGGGAGATAGAGAGAAACATCAGTGATGAGAGAGAGAATCATTGATCGGCTGCCTCCTGTACACCCCACACTGGGTATCAAGCCCGCCATCCGGGCGTGTATCGTGACCGGGAATCGAACCATGGCCTCTTGGTTCATAGGTTGACGCTCAACCACTGAGCCACGCCAGCCAGGCAAGTCTCAGGGTTTTTGTAAGATGAGTCTTGTCTTCCCTTAACTCATGCGGCAAACTTTTAAAGTTCTTGATGTTCTTAAGGTCAAGAAGGAAGGAGGCCCCATCCTTGCAGAAGCGGGAACTAGAGCCTCCTCAGAATGACGAGCGTCCTCAGAAACACAGAGCCCCAGGAAGAGAAAGCCCGGATGTCTCAGTCTCCCGATTTCACCACGTCTTCCAATTTCAAGGCCAAGACAGCTACCACGTCAGCTCCCCCGATGGAACACGCTCCCCCGACCAAAAACACCTTGGAGCTGCCTGCCGAGGAGGAGCTGATCATGGAGGAACAGAGTCTATACGGGCTTGACGAGGAGCTTGAGAAAACCCTGGAGGCCATATACAGAGATGAGCCGAAGGACGATTGCCTCACAAGCCGACCATCCTGGGCCAACAAGGCTGAGTACCTTCTGGCCCAGGTGGGCTACTCTGTAGGGCTGAGCACCATCTGGCGCTTCCCTTATCTGTGTCTTCACAACGGAGGTGGTAAGCCTGCGGGGCGGGATCTTGAACCCAGGAAGGGTCACGGAGCCAGAGGCTTGTTCTGGCTTCTCTGGGGTCTCTGAGATACGTAGGGTTTGAGGATTTGGGGCCCTGAATGAGGCAAGAGCCAAGCATGTGAATACACAGAACCTCCGGAGGGCGAGAGCGGGACATCGCAATACTTTGGGTCCATGAGGGCTGGGGGAGGGGGGCGGGGTGGAGGTCCGGGTCAGGAGTCAAGGTGTAGAAATGATGTCTCTTGGTCTTCCAGGACCTGGGGGATAAGGGCCTGGACCCCTGGGGCTGCGAGGGGTGAGGAGATAGATGAAGCCCGATGCCCTTGGCCCTGATAGGGAATGCGCTCTCCTGGACTCCCCAGGAAGTCCAGGGGCTCAAACACACGTCACAGGTGGTCCTCAGAGGCCCTCCCGAATCTCCTGCGCAGGGAGCTTCATCATCATCTACATGTTCATGCTGGCCCTGGTCGGAGTCCCGCTCCTCGTGATGGAGATAGCGCTGGGCCAGAGGTTACACCAGGGCAGCATTGGCGTGTGGAAGAACATGACCCCCTGGTGCAGCGGCGTGGGGTACAGCAGCTTCATGGTGAGGAGCCCGGGGTGCCCAGGCCCGCCCTTCCCGCCGAACCCTCTCCCACCCTGGTCCAGGCGCGGGTCCCGGGATCTCACCTCCTCCAGTTCCCCGATCCCCTGTCAAATTCCCTCCCTTCTGCTGGCCCGCCTCTCCTCCTCCGCCTCCAGAATCCTTCACGGTCCCTAGGTGTGCTTCGTCGTGGGCCTGTACTACAGCGTGCTCATGGCTTGGAGTCTCTACTATCTGGTCCAGTCTTTCCAGTCTCCACTGCCGTGGGCCATGTGCCCCTTTCTGAACAACTCCAGCTCTTTCGGTGAGAAGGGAGGTGAGCAAAGGGCCAGTCGGGAGGGCTGAGCAGAGGAAAGGGGGATGAAGGAAGAAGAAGGCCACTGAGAGAGATGGACGCGCAGATGGACGATGACCTGGGACGGGAAGGAGCGGGTGGAGGAAAAGAAGGGGAGGTGCCTGTGCTCGCAGTCTCCTCCATGGCCACGTTCCCCTCAGATCCCGAATGTTCCCGGACAGCGTCCACCACGTACTTCTGGTACCGACACGTGCTGAGGACCACGGATGAGATTGAGCTGGGCGGGCTCCCGGCCATGCACCTCTGCATCTCTCTCCTGGTGACCTGGTTAATTATCTGCATCTCTCTGGTCAGAGGGCTCAAGTCCACTGGGAAGGTGACCTTCTAACTGACTCCTCTGATGGTCTCCTTTCTACCGGAGGCCCCTGTTATTCTTCCAGCCTGATGCCTGTAGGTCCCCAACTTCTTCTTCTTCTTCTTCTTCTTCTTCTTTTTTTTTTTTTTTTTTTTTTAATGTTCTTATTGGTTTCAGAGAAGGGAGAGGATGAGAGAGAGAGAAACATCAATGACGAGAGAGGATCATTGATCAGCTGCCTTCTGCACACCCCCCACTGGTGATCAAGCCCACAACCCAGGCATGTGCCCTTGGCAGGAATGGAACCTGGGACCCTTCGGTCTGCAGACTGATGCTCTATCCTTTGATCCAAGCCAGCGAGAGCTCAGCCTAGAGATGTCTATATAATAAAAGGCTAATATGCTAATTAGACAGACATCTTCCAGACACCCATCTAGACATCCTTCCTGACAAAGCCACAGTGGCGGGGGCCCAGGCAGAGGAGGTTAGTGGCAACCAGGTAGGCAGAGAAGGGCAGTTAGGGACCATCAGGCAGGCAGGCAGGTGAGCAGTTAGGAGCTAGTGGTCCTGGATTGTCTGACGCTGGGATCTGATGCAGGCTCCCCCTGCCCCCTCTTAACCCTCTTATCCCAGGATGTCTGACACAGGACCTAAACAGGCAGTTGAACATCCCCCAAGGGGTCCTGGATTGGAGAGGGAATAACTCTCTATCCCCTCCCCCCCCCATACATGAATTTTGTGCACTGAGCCTCTAGTATATTAATAAAAGAACATCATTTTTAATATATATTTTTTATTGTTGATAGTATTACAGATGTCTCCCATTTCCCCACCACTGCCCCCCTTTGCCAAGCCCCCACTCATGCCCCCAGGTCTTCACCACCCTAATTATTGCCTGTGTCCATGGGCTGAGCATATAAACATATAAGTTGTTTATCTCTTCTCGTCCTCCCACCCCCACACTGAGGAATGTCAGTCTGTCCCATCCTCCATGCTTTGAGTGTTATTTTGTTCTTTGATTCTATAAATAAGGGAGATCATGTGATATTTGTCTTTCTCAGATTGGCTTATTTCACTTAGCATAATGGTCCCTAGGTCCATCCACGCTGTCCCAAAGGGGCAGCCCTCTTTTCTTTACAGCTGTATGGTATTCCATCGTGTAAATGTCCCACAGCTTTTTTAAAGGATATTTTCTCCAATGATTTTTAGAGAGCGTGGAAGGGGAAGGAGAGAGAAGAAAGACGGAAAGAGAGAAACATCAATGTGTGAGAGAAACACATGGATGCCTGGCCTCCTGCTCCTTCCCCCGCCCCCTCCTCTGCCCTCGTACAGAGCCAGGATTGAACCTGTAACCAAGGTATGTGCCCTTGAGTGGGGAATCTGGCCCGTGAGCCTTCAGTCTGCGGGTTGATGTTCTAACCACTGAGCCACACCAGCCCACTCCAAACTTCTCGTTTCTCCTCCTCTGACCTCTGATTCCCAATGGTTTTGGTCCTACTATCCCAACCTTTGCCTTTGCTGAACTTTCTTTGAAAACTCTTACTTCCGGCCGAAACCGGTTTGGCTCAGTGGATAGAGCGTCGGCCTGCAGACTGTAAGGTCCCGGGTTCGATTCCGGTCAAGGGCATGTACCTTGGTTGCGGGCACATCCCCAGTAGGGGGCGTGCAAGAGGCAGCTGATCGATGACTCTCTCATTGATGTTTCTAACTCTCTACTCTGTATCTCTCTCCCTTCCTCTCTGTACAAAATCAATAAAATATATAAAATTTAAAAAAATTAAAAACAAAAAGACTCATACTTCCTACCCAGATGCTGTATGTCTCCGTGCTCCTCCCCTACATCATCTTTGTCTGCGTCCTCATCCGGAGCCTCATGCTGAAGGGAGCGGACTTTGGAATCAGGAGCCTGCTGGCCGCCCAGGTGAGGTGTGCTTCCCTGTGGGAAAGGGATCCAATTGGGGGTTCGGGTTCTGGAGAAGGGCCGCACACAAATTCAATGTGGCGATGGGGGGCCAGGCGGCAGTCCAGCTCCAGTGGGAGAGCTACGCCTGCTCTGGCCCTGCCGTCCCTTTTATGGAGGCTTTGGCAAAAACATCTTAGGCAAGGTAAACAGATTTATCGATACATGCAGCCCTTAGGCAGGAAATCACAGAAGCTTACACGGGACAAACAAGATGGAGGCTGCTTCAGCTAACCATGTCTCCACTCAAGGCTGAGTGGTGAGAGCAATGAAGGTTGTTGACCAGCCTTCCTGGCTTCCTGTCAACATATCTCTCTCTTTTTAAAAAAAAAAATATTTTATTGATTTTTTTACAGAGAAGAAGGGAGAGAGAGAATTAGAAACATCAATGAGAGAGAAACATCCATCAGCTGCCTCTTGCCAACCCCCCACTGGGGATGTGCCCGCAACCCAGGTACATGCCCTTGACCGGGATCGAACCCGGGACCTTTTAGTCCACAGGCCGACGCTCTATCCTAGGGGTGTCGAACTCAATCAGAGAAGGGGCCAAAATCTAAAATCCAGCCTAAATCGCGGGCCGAATGGTTTACTGAACAGTCATAAACTGTCATTGTGATGGAAACTCAGCGGAGTGCAGTGATGACAGCGCGGTGCGGGCCACATTGCAAGGCCTGGCGGGACGGATTTGGCCCGCGGGCCTTGTGTTTGACACATGTGCTCTATCCACTGAACCACACCGGCTTCGGCCAACATCTCTCTTTTAGTGAAACTCATTTGTTCCTGGCAATTCTCCCCCTCTCCCCGCTTAGCCCTCTGACCCCGGGGAGGGTAGAGGGACGGTGCAGCCTGGGTCAGGCCCCCCCCCCGGCCCCGCCCACGCACGCCCCCCCCCCCCAGGTGCCAGCCCTGTACTCGGTGGACGTGTGGCGCCGGACGGGGAACCACCTCTTCCTGTCCATGGGCTCGGGCTTCGGCTGCTTCACCGCCATCAGCTCGTACATCCCTCGCTCCAACAACTGCATCATGGACGCCTCGGCCGTGGCCCTCCTCAACCTGCTCATCTCGGTGACGGCCACGGTGTTCGTGTTCGCCACGATGGGCTACCTGGCCACGGTGAACAGCGAGAAGTGCTACGTGAAGTGAGCAGCCCCGGGTCCGAGCCTTAGCGGCAGCACAGGGAGCTCCCGGCCGGGCCCGTCCCTCAGGGACCTGGGCTCGGTCAGCGTAGGTCCCTCACAATTGAGCGCCCTAAGCTTCGCAAACACTGAGTCTCTCTCTTTCTAAACGAAGAAAACCCCAAACTCAGATGTTTTCAAAGGTGTGTCTGCCCCATCCTCTCCTGGGGGCTGCCAGGGGAGACTGAGGGGATGCCTTCGACTGAACCAGGAGACAAAAAAACAAACAAACAAACAAACAGCACAAAGCCCATGGCTTATTTCCCATATTCTTTTTCTAAAATATATTTTTATGGATTTCAGAGAGGAAGGGAGAGGGAGAGAGAGAGAGAGAAACATCAATGATGAGAGAGAATTATTGATTGGCTGCCTCCTGCATGCCCCCTACCGGGGACCAAGCCCCCAATCCAGGCTTCGGCCCTTGGCCGGGAATCGAACCTGGGACCCTTCAGTCCGTAGGCCAACGCTCTATCCATGAAGCCAAACCAGCTAGGGCCCTATTTTCTTTTTAAGAAAATAATTCCTCATTGTTGAAAGTATTACATATGTCCCCTGCCTATTCCTGACTTTCATCTCCCGTGGCATTCATTTCAAAATGCATATCAGACATTCTTCAAAAAAATATATATGTATATATATAATATACACTGTTGATTTTTACAGAGAGGGATAGGTAAAAACATCGATGAGAGAGAAACATCCATCAGCTGCCTCCTGCACCCCCCACTGGGGATGTGCCTGCAACCAAGGCCCATGCCCTCGACCGGAATCGAACCTGGGATCCTTCAGTCCGCAGGCCGACGCTCTATCCACTGAGCCACACCGGCCAGGGCCAGACATCTCTTTACAAAGCACCCCCTATGTACCCGCCCGTATGCTGGGTTCTGGACCGTCCTCCCTGCCCTCGGGAAGACCGCAGAGCAGAGACCACGCTAGTGAGGTCCCTCCTCTAGTCTAGAACGTGAGAGAGACAGAGAGGCGCTCTCCTGAGGGCCCCGCTGGTTTCACAGGAACGCGGAGAGGGTCATGAACCTGGTCACCGCGGGGGTGCTGCCCCCGGAGCTGCGGCTCCCGGAGAGCCTGTTCCGGCACATGAGCTACACCTACCCCAGGTGGTTCGGCAACCTCCCGGAGCCCGTCAGGGTCGTGGCCCAGCCCTACCTGTCCAACTGCGACTTATCCGAGCAGCTGAAGGAGGTAGGCAAGGCCGGGCGGGGGAGGGGCGGGGCGGGCCCCCCCGCCCCCCGCGCACGGGGCGCGCCAGCTCTACTCCGCTGTCTGCAGAACCCAGGAGGCAATTCCCAGCAGCAGCCCGGGCAACCAAGCAAGGCGCACAGCCTCTTTTCATTTTATTTATGTATTTATGTATTTATTTTTAAAATATATTTTATTGATTTTTTACAGAGAGGAAGGGAGAGAGATAGAGAAATAAAAACTTCGATGAGAGAGAAACATCGACCAGCTGCCTCCTGCACATCCCCCACCGGGGATGTGCCCGCAACCAAGGTACATGCCCCTGACCGGAATCGAACCCGGGACCTTTCAGTCCGCAGGCCGACGCTCTATCCACTGAGCCACAGCGGTCGGGGCTGCGGCCTCCTTTGGTGGCACAGCCACGTCAGGCTGTCACACCGGCACCAAAGGTCACGTACACCTTTGAGCTCCACCAGAGGTGCTAGGCCAGCAGACGTCGCAGGAGGAAGTCCCATTGTAGTGTCACTGACAGTGCTGGGGGGCAGGGGGGACAGCAGCGGAGTCTGGGCTCCACGGGCCCTCTGACCACCGCCCCCCCTTCCTTCCACTCACAGGTCATGGAGGGGCCCGGCGTGGCCTTCGTGGCCTTCACCGAGATCATCGCCGTGTTTGCCGGGTCCACCTTCTGGGCCATCATCGTCTTCCTGTTCCTGGTGGCCACGGGGCTGAGCACCATGCAGGGCATCATGCAGGGCATCATCACGCCGCTGCTGGACACCTTCGCCGTCACTAGGCGGCACTCCACGCTGCTCACAGGTGCCCTGACCCCCGGCCCGCCCCCGGCCCGCCCCCGTCCGCACCCCCACCCGCACCCCCACCCCCACCCCTTAGCTAATCCCCGCCCCCCCACCCCACCCCCCTCCATCCCCGCCCCCCACCCCCGCCAGCACCCCCACCCCCCCTCCATCCCCGCCCCCACCCCCACCCCTTAGCTTATCCCGGCCCCCACCCCCTCCCCGTACCCCCCAGCTCATCCCCGCCCCCGCCCCCATCCTCACCCCCACCCCCACCCCCCCCCGCCCCCATCCCCACCCCCGCCCGCACCCCCTAGCTTATCCCCGCACCCCCCATCCCCGCCCGCCCCCCCGCCCGCGCCCCCCAGCTCATCCCCGCAGGACCCGCGCTGCCCGCCGGAGCCCTGGCCTGACCCGGCCCGTGCCCCCCAGTGGGCGTCTGCACCTCCATGTCCCTGGGCAGCTTCTTCTTCGTGCAGCCCGCGGGCAGCTACTACGTGAACCTGCTGGACGACTACTGGGCGTCGCTGCCCCTGTTCGTCATCCTCATCGTGGAGAACGTGTCCATGGCCTGGATCTACGGGGCCCGGAGGTGAGGCCCAGCCCCGGTCCCCGCCCCGGCCCCCGCCCGCCCCCGCGATCCCGGCCCGGCCGGCCGCGCCCCGCGGGGCGGCAGGGAGGCGGGCGCGGCTGGTTTGGGGAGAGGACGGAGGATGCACAAAGTGCTGAACGGTCCGAAGCGGGGCCTCGGGGACCCCAGCCCTAGGCCGGCCCGGGCGCTTGGAGCACGGGAGCCCTGCGCCTCCCCAGTGGCCCTCTCTGAGGAGCAGCAGCCCGCCGAAGCCCGTGTGGCTCAGTGGGTAGAGCGTCGGCCTGCGGACTGAGGGGTCCCGGGTTCGATTCCGGTCGAGGGCATGTACTGGAATCGAACTCTCCTGCACACTCCCCACTGAGGCAGCTGATGGATGTTTCTCTCTCATCGCTGTTTCTAACTCTCTATTCCTCTCCCTTCCTCCCTATAAAAAGTCAATAAAAGAAAATGAAAAGGAATTAAAAAAGAGAGAAACGCAGGCCCTCAGGCTCCGCACGGTGACGGGAACCCTGGGGCAGCAGTTCCCGACGCCGCGGCCCTTTCACACAGCCCCTCATGTGGTGACCCTCAGCCGGACAGTCATGTCGGTGCTACTTCGTAACTGTAATTTCGCTACTGTTATGAATCCTAATGCAAGGGTTGCCAAAGACCATCAGAAAACACAGATACTTACATTATTATTCGTAACAGTAGCAAATTACAGTTATGAAGTAGCAACGGAAATAATTTTATTTTTATTTATTTATTTTACTTTTTAAAATATATTTTATTGATTTTTTTATAGAGAGGAAGGGAGAGGGAAAAAGAGCTAGAAACATCCATCAGCTGCCTCCTGCAAACACCCCCCCACCCCTCCGGGGATGTGCCCGAAACCAAGGTACATGCCCTTGACTGGAATTGAACCTGGGACCCTTCAGTCCCCAGAGGGGGGGGGTGCAAGAGGCAGCTGATCAATGATTCTCTCTCATCAATGTTTCTAACTCTCTATCCCTCTCTCTTCCTCTCTGTAAAAAAAATCAATAAAATATATATATTTTTTAAAAGGGGTACTAAAGATAGCAGGGCACATGGGCATAAAGAAACTACATTCAGCTGTAACTGGTTTGGCTCAGTGGATAGAGCGTCAGCCTGTGGACTGAAAGGTCCTGGGTTCGATTCCGGTCAAGGGCATGTATCCTGGTTGTGGGCACATCCCCAGTGTGGGGTGTGCAGGAGGCAGCTGATCGATGTTTCTCTCTCATCCATATTTCTAACTCTCTTCCTCTGTGTAAAAAATCAATAGAATATATTTAAGGAAAAAAAGAAAAGAAACTACATTTAGGAACTTGGCTTCATCCTGAAGGTGAATTTTTTTTTTTAAATCCGGGGCTGGGACAGAAATGAGCCTGGAAAGGGGTGGGTTAGAGGGAAGGAGACTGGTGTGGAGACGGACAGGAAGGTCTAAGACGTGGGCAGGGTCTTTCTGGGGCCCGGCTGGCCCTCCCCCGCCCCCCGAGGGGCCCTCCCAACACCCGCGGCCCTTCCCCCAGGTTCCACGCAGACCTGATCATCATCCTGGGCCGCCCCATCTCCTCCGTGTACCGCTGGCTCTGGAGCCTGGTGTCGCCCTTGCTGCTGCTGGTCCTGTTTGTCATCATCCTCATCCACCTGTACCTGAGGCCCATCACCTACATGGCCTGGAACTCCAGCATTGTGAGCCTCCCCCGCAGACCGCCCCCCTGCCCAGACCCCAGGCACCCCCGGGCCCCAGTCCCCAGACCCCAGACACCCCCCCCCGCCCAGACCCCAGACCCCAGACACCCCCCCGCCCAGACCCCAGACACCCCCCGCCCCAGTCCCCAGACCCCAGGCACCCCCCCCCCGCCCAGACCCCAGGCACCTCCCCCCCCCCGCCCAGACCCCAGGCACCCCCGGGCCCCAGTCCCCAGACCCCAGACACCCCCCCCCTGCCCAGACCCCAGGCACCCCCCCCCCGCCCAGACCCCAGGCACCCCCGGGCCCCAGTCCCCAGACCCCAGACACCCCCCCGGCCCAGACCCCAGACATCCCCCTGCCCCAGACCCCACACACACCCCCACCCCAGACCCAGACACCCCCCCGCCCCAGACCCCAGACACCCCCCCGCCATCCCCCCCTTGGGCCCCAGACCCCAGACACCCCTCCACCCCACCCCTAGGGAGTGGGTGATAGATCCTCCCCTCCTCCAACTGATGGGCGGACGTAAACTCCACCTGCAGCTGGACACTGAGCACCGAACCACCCATCAGCACCTGCCAAATGCCCTAAGCCCCCTTCCCTAAGCCCCCAGGTCCCTAACCACAGGCCTTACAGGAAACCACCAGTCAGCGCGTGCCGAGTGCCCTAAGCCCCGTCCCCTCTCATTCCTCCCCTTAAAAAGTGCTTGTCGCCGAAACCAGTTTGGCTCAGTGGATAGAGCGTAGGCCTTCGGACTGAAAGGTCCCAGGTTCGATTCCGGCCAAGGGCATGTGCCTTGATTGCGGGTACATCCCCAGTAGGGGGTGTGCAGGAGGCAGCTGATCGATGATTCTCTCTCATCGATGTTTCTAACTCTCTGTCCCTCTCTGTAAAAAATCAATAAAATAAAAAAAATTAAAAAGAAAAAGTGCTTGTGCCCCGGCCCTCGCTCTCTCCCGCTCGCTCGCTCTGTTCTTCTCTCCAACACAGCCTGTGCCCTGGCCGCCCGTCCGGCCCTCTCTGTCTCAGCCCTCAGTGGGGACAGACTTTCCAGCCCACTCTGCCTCCGGGACCCAGTTACCTCACTCCCTGGCGACCAGTTATCCCGTCTCTCGCCTTGGTTCATCTCCTACCCCCACTTTTTTTTTTAATATCGGTTTTTAAAAATATATTTTATTAATTTTTTACAGAGAGGAAGGGAGAGGGATAGAGTCTTAGAAACATCGATGCGAGAGAAACATCGACCAGCTGCCTCCTGCACGCCCCCTCCTGGGGATGTGCCCGCAACCCAGGTACATGCCCTTGACCGGAATCGAACCCGGGACCTTTCAGTCCGCAGGCCGATGACGCTCTATCCACTGAGCCACACCGGTTTCGGCACCTACCCCCCACCTTCGGCCCCCCGACTTCGGGTGCCCTGGGCCTCCTCAGCCGTCCTCCCTTCTCCCGCAGTCCAACGAAGTGCTCCAGAGCTACCCGCCATGGGGGAAGGCCTTGCTGGGGCTGCTCACCTCGCTCACCGTCCTGCCCATCCCCGTCTGCGCCGCGTACATCCTCCTGCACAAGATGCCTCCGCCGCCGGCTGGCGCCATGCAGCACCCGGACACCGACTTCTTTAAGGGCGACGCCAAGGAGGAGAACCAGAAGACCCGTCTGCGGCTGTCCCCCGGGCAGATCAAGAGGAAGACGAGCAAATTCCGGTAACGGGAGGCCGGCTGTCCGCTGCGGGCGAGCGTTCCTCCGAAATAAAGACTTGGCTCAGTTGGCATCATGTCACTGCTTGTTGTTCTGTTTTGTTTTTTATAATCAAACATTAGCTATCGGATTTTGATGACCTGATATTCTTTTTTTTTAATATATAATATATTTTATTGATTTTTCACAGAGAGGAAGGGAGGGAGATAGAGAGCTAGAAACATCGGTGAGAGAGAAACACCGACCAGCTGCCTCCTGCACACCCCCCACTGGGATGTGCCCGCAGCCCAGGTCCATGCCCTTGACGGGAATCGAACCCGGGACCTCTACCACTGAGCCAACCGGTTTCAGCTGTTTTTTGTTTTGTTTTTTTAAAGATCTCACACATTTATTACTGAACCATCCTACTATTGCGGGGGGAAGGGGGGGGCAGGGAATCAACAGCAAAATCAAAGTCCATTCATTCTCCAATTAAAATGCCCCCACCGTCCAGACAGAAGCATCTTTTCAATCGCTTAAAGGTGCAGGCCACCCGGACCCAGCATGCACACGGAGTCCTCTCTCCTGAGTGACTCCTCACAGGCCGGCGTGGTCCTCCTCCGTCTCCTCTTGGAGTTGTACCTGATTTCATGACCAGTTTCATCCGAACCCATCGGGGCGGGGCCGGCTCTGCTTTTGTGTCTCGGCCGGAACCTCTGGATCCCGGGAGTCTTGTGGGAAGACGTGGCGGAGGAGAGGCGAGCGGTGGGGTGTCGGAGAAAGAGCTGGTTTTTGTTTTGTTGTTTTGTTTTGTTTTGTTTTGTTTTGTTTTGTTTTCATCCTCCCTGAGGATCCCCCAGTGACGTGCGGAGAGAGTGCAGGGAGAGGGGCGGGCGGGAGAGAGAACAGCCTCACACAGGCGCCAGGGCTGGGGGCCTGCAGCTGCGGGGGGCCGTGCCCTGGACCAGACATCGCGAGACCCTGTGGTCCCCAGGAGGGTGCTCTAACCGCTGGCCAGCAGGGCACCTCCAGGTGTTTCACAGGGAACTCCCTGGCCGGGCAAGGGGGCATTAAGAAGGGTAAGTGTAGGAATTGCTGATGAACTGGACCCCAAGTCTCTTCCCCCCCCCCTGGATTGGGCAAGTTTTTCTGGCTGTGGGCGATGAACACCGTCATTGCTCGAATCTCCCACGCTTTTGCCTTCAGAGAGACGGGCCAAGAGCCCGGGCGAGTGAATGATGGAGGCAGGGGCTGGGCCGGGGGCCTGCAGGGGGGTAGGGGCGGGGCTGGGGGCCTGCAGGGAGGGTAGGGGCGGGGCTGGGGTCTGCGGGGGGGGGGGCAGGGGCGGGGCTGGGGGTCTGCGGGGGGCAGGGGCGGGGCTGGGGGTCTGCGGGGGGCAGGGGCGGGGCTGGGGGTCTGTGGGGGGTAGGGGCGGGGCTGGGGGTCTGCGGGGGGCAGGGACGGGGCTGGGGGTCTGCGGGGGGGGAGGGACTGGGCGGGGGGGTCTGTGGGGGGGTAAGGCCTGGGCAGGGGCGGGGCTGGGGGTCTGCGGGGGGCAGGGGCGGGGCTGGGGGTCTGCGGGGGCACCTCAGGGTCCCGCATCCTCAGGTGAATCGCCCGCAGCGCCTTCCCGCTGCAGGAGAGCCCGGAGCGGCCGCCGGGGGCCTGGCCTCGCGCCACCCCCCCCCCCCAGGTGCCCCCGGAGCAACCGGTCTCCTCGGACCCGCGCGGCGGCGGCAGGTAAAGGGGGTGCAGCCGTCGGGGCCCCCAACTCCCGACCTCTCAGCGCCCCAGGCGGCTGGTCCCCGCCAGCACCCTCCTCCCCTGGACCCAGACTCCCTCCCAGGCTTAGGGACCCAGACGCCCGAGGCGGGGCGGGGGACCCAGCGGGAGCAGGAGTCCGGGCGCCCACTCCGGTCCTCGGCCGGAGCCCCCGTGAGCGGCGAGGCCGGCGGGGGCGGGGGCGGCCGAGCCCCGGGCGGCCCCCTCGGAACCAGCTCTCAGCTCGCCCCCAGCAGGCGGTCGCTTCTTTGGTTCTCGGAGAGCCCGGCCGAGGGCGACAGGGAGCCCGAGTGCGCCGAGCGGGCGGCCGGACAGCCGGACGGACCGAGGCTTCGAGGGCAGGGGCTGCGCGCCCCCTGGGGGCAGCCGAGTGAACTGCAGGTACGAGGTCTTGAAAGGGAGACAAGGGAGTGGCTGCAGCCGGAGGCAGGGTGATGGGGGTGAAGGGTGAGGGGTGGGGGTGAGGGGTGAGGGGTGGGGGTGAGGGGTGAGGGGTGGGGGTGAGGGGTGAGGGGTGAGAGTGAGGGGTGGGGGCTGGGGGGTAGTTGGTGGAGGGAGAACAGAAGCAGGGGCCCAGCGGGAAGGGCCTTGGGGGCTAAACAGGGCTGTCAGGGGCCTGGGAAGTTTTAGACAAACCATCCACGTGGTTAGGTTTATAGAATGACTGGAATAGTAAGTAGCCATTAAAATATATATTTTTAGCCGAAACCGGTTTGGCTCAGTGAATAGAGCGTTGGTCTGCGCACTGAAAGGTCCCAGGTTGATTCCAGTCAAGGGCATGTACCTTGGTTGTGGGCAACACCCACCAAGGTACATGCTCTTGACCAGAATCAAACCTGGGACCTTCCAGTCTGCAGTCCGATGCTCTATCCATTGAGCCAAATCAGTTGGAGCATTAAAAACAGTTTTAACCGTAGCCGGTCTGGCTCACTGAACAGAGTGCCGGCTGGCGGACCCAATGGTCCCGGGTTCCCATCTGGTCAAGGGCAGGTACCTCGGTTGTGGGCTCCTTCCCAGGCCCAGGCCCTGGCCCCAGGCTCATGCAGGAGGCAACCAATCGATGTGTTTCTCTGCCATCAATATTTCTGTCTTTCTCTTTGTCTTCCATTCTCTCTAAAAATCAATGGAAAAGTATCCTTGGATGAAGATTAAAAAACAATAACAATAAATACGTATTTTAAAAAAAAGTATATTTTATTGATTTTTTACAGAGAGGAAGAGAGAGGGATAGAGAGTTAGAAACATCAATGAGAGAGAATCATTGATCAGCTGCCTCCTGCACACCCCCCACTGGGGATGCACCCGCAACCAAGGCACATGCCCCTGACCGGAATCGAACCTGGGACCCTTCAGTCTGCAGGCCGACGTTCTATCCACTGAGCCAAACCGGTCCCGGCTAAATACGTACTTTTAAACAATACTTTTTACATAGGAAAATACTCATGATATAGCAGAAGTGTATCTATGATAATAAAAGGGTGGTGTGCTAATTAAACTGGGCGTCTTCCGGAAGTCATTCCGGACATTCTTCCTGCGGAGGCTGGGGCGGAGGGAAGCCAGCCTGGGGCCCGGTGCCCGCAGGCGTCCGGAGGAGGGCAGCTGGTGCCAGCAGCGAGGGGGGCGGGCTACTGTTGCACAAATTTTCATGCATCGGGCCTCTAGTACACACGGAGTGGCCAGATTATTATGATCTCTGAGCGCATAATAATCTGGCCACTCAGTGTACTTCTCTTGAGCACCTCATTTATTTGATATAAAAGATAGTCTAAATCGTGCACCTGATCAGTTTCCCCCTTTGCGCTGGCTGATAGAAAGCTCAGGGCAAATAGGTGGTTGATCTCCAGCCAAAGTCTAGGATACTTTTGGTACCCACTTGAGATACCAATACACTGAGTGGCCAGATTATTATGCGTCCAGAGATCACAATAATCTGGCCACTCAGTGTATATATAAGTCTCCAATTTGTAAGAAACACACACATGTTCATAAGTATGTATTTACATACTATATGTTATGTTTAACAATAGTGTCCATATATAACATATTCAATAATAATATTCAACGTGTAAGAAATATAAATATATTATACCCTATGTAAATATATTATATCCTATGCATATTGGATAACAATATCTAATACATAATCTATAGATGATGATAATACCTAATTTGAAAGAAGTACAAATATATGAAATAGTTATAGAAACACATAAAATGACAAAATCTAATTTATAAAATGGGTTGTGCCTCCTTTCAAAACCTAAAGGAAACTAACATTTAAAACCATGGTATCTTTTAAGATTATGGAGTTTGCAGGTTCTTTGTGCATATGTAATCTCCACACATCTACTCATATTGCTTTCAAATAAGGAAAGATTTATTTACTTATGGTCTTTATATGGTGTTGTGGTTATGTGTTTGTTTGTTTGTTTCCTTTTCCTGCTTTATTGCAATGGACAGGATCTCCAATACGAAGTTGAGTAGGAGATTCATCCAACATTCTTGTCTTGTTCCCGGCCGCAGGCGCAGAGCATTCACAGTTCACCACTGAGGTGGTGTTAGCTGTGGGCTTCCAGGAGCTGTGGATGCAGGATGTATCTCCTAGTCCTAGTGTTCCCAGCACTTTGGGCCTTTTTTAAATTAAAATATTTTCCTTCTACACATTATAAACCCCAAAATATATTGCTCTCTGTGTGTGTTTTTTTTTAAAATATATTTTATTGATTTTGTACAGAGAGGAAGGGAGAGAGGTAGAGGGTTAGAAACATCCATGAGAGAGAGTCATCGATCAGCTGCCTCTTGCACACCCCTTACTGGGGATATGCCTGCAACCAAGGTACATGCTCCCGACTGGAATTGAACCCAGGACCCTTCAGTCCCCAAGTCAATGCTCTATCCATTGAGCCAAACCGGTCTCGGCTCTCTTTGTTGTTTTAAGCACAGTCATTAGTCGCTTATAGTGGTCTGCCTAGTCAGCCTTTTAGATGTTCTTTCGTTCCTTCTTGTATATCTCTACTTCCATCGGATGAAAATATTCGCCTTAAGTCAGTGACTCGGGAAGGGGCCCCGAGGGAAACTGCAGCCCTCGGTGTTCTACATGAGTCTTTCTCATGGAGTTTTGCGGTTTGGCATCTGAGACGTGACCCTTCACGTCTGCTGTGTTTGGTGACCCCAAGATTCCCCCAGGCGTTAGAGGAAGCCATGGCGGCGACCTCTGAGGACAGAGAGCCGGTGACCTCTGAGGACAGAGAGCCGGTGACCTCTGAGGACAGAGAGCCGGTGACCTCTGAGGACAGAGAGCCAGTGACCTCTGAGGACAGAGAGCCAGGCCCCCGCCAGCATTCCCAAAGGCTGTCATCCTCACCCTTGAGGCTCTTGGGCAAGATCCCGGTCAAGACCCAGAACTTCATCGTTCAGACCAAGAGGACAGAAAGCATTTTGCTCCAGATCGCCTTCTCCCTCGGGCTGGGCAGCATGTGGCGCTTCCCGTACCTCTGCCACCGGAACGGAGGTGAGGCCAGACGTTTCGGGGACACAAGGCTGGACCCCGGGCTCCGGGGAGGAGGGCACCGAGGGAGGGCACACCGCCCCCACGCCCCCATCCGTGGTGTGAGGGGTCCCGGGACAAAAGCCATAAAGGGGGTGGGGGCCGGGCTCCCGCTGCCCGGGGCTCAGCTCCCTGCTCCCTCCTCCAGGTGACTTCATCCTCATCTACTTCTTCCTGCTCTGCCTGCTCGGGGTCCCCCTCCTGTACATGGAGATGGTCATGGGGCAGTGGCTGCGGATCGACAGCATCCAGATCTGGAGTCATCTGGTGCCCCTGATGGGAGGCCTGGGCTATGCGAGCATGCTGGTGAGCGAGGGGCCGGCCAGGAGGCGCCGTGGCTCCCCCCACTCCCCACCCGCCCCCTGTGGTCTCCACGTCCTGTCTCCACCCCGCTCACCCCTCTGCCCGCTGTGTCCCCGCCCCAGGTGTGCGTCATGGTGAGCGTGTACAACAGCATCATCATCACCTGGTGCTTCTACTACCTCACCAACTCCTTCCACCACCCGCTGCCCTGGACCCGCTGCCCGCTGCTCCACACCAACCTCACCGGTGAGGGGAGGGGGAGAGGGAGAGGGAGGGGGAGGGAGAGGGGAAGGGGGAGGGAGCGGGAGCGGGAGAGGGAGCGGCAGAGGGAGAGGGAGAGGGAGAGGGGGAGGGGGAGGGAGAGAGGGAGGGAGAGGGAGAGGCAGAAAGAGAGGGAGAGGGAGAGGCGGAGGAAGAGGGAGACGGAGAGGGAGAGGGAGAGGCAGAGGCAGAGGCAGAGGGAGAGGGAGAGGCAGAGGGAGAAGCAGAGGGAGAGGCAGAGGGAGAGGGAGAGGCAGAGGGAGAGGCAGAGGGAGAGGGAGAGGCAGAGGGAGTGGGAAAGGGAGAGGCAGAGGCAGAGGGAGAGGGAGAGGGAGAGGGAGAGGGAGAGGGAGAGGGAGAGGGAGAGGGAGAGGAAGCGGGAGAGGCAGAGGGAGTGGGAAAGGGAGAGGCAGAGGCAGAGGGAGAGGGAGTGGGAGAGGGAGTGGGAAAGGGAGAGGCAGAGGCAGAGGCAGAGGCAGAGGGAGAGGGAGAGGGAGAGGGAGAGGGAGTGGGAAAGGGAGAGGCAGAGGCAGAGGCAGAGGGAGAGGGAGAGGGAGAGGGAGAGGGAGAGGGAGAGGCAGAGGGTGAGGGAGAGGGAGAGGCAGAGGGTGAGGGAGAGGCAGAGGCAGAGGGAGAGGGAGAGGCAGAGGCAGAGGCAGAGGGAGAGGGAGAGGCAGAGGGAGAGGGAGAGGGAGAGGCGGAGGGAGAGGGAGAGGGAGAGGGAGAGGGAGAGGGAGTGGGAGGGCTGGCAGGGCCGAGGGAGGCAAGGGCACCAAGAAGCACCGAAACCAGTGTGGCTCCGTGAGGGCTGAAGGGTCCTGGGTTCGATTCCTAATCCTCTTGGTGGCGGGCTCATCCCTGGTGGGCGGTGTGCAGGAGGCAGCTGGTCGATGTTTCTCTCTCATCGACGTTTCTAGCTCTCTATCCCTCTCTCCTCCTCTCTGTAAAAAATCAATAAAAAATATTTTTTTTAAAAAAATTAAGAAGCAAGAGGGAGGGAGGGAGGAAGAGCCAGGGAGGAGGGGGCGCAGGGGCGGCTCCGGGAGGCGGCGGCTGAGCGCCCGGCCCCCAGGCCTGTCCTGCCTGCGCACCGTGTCCGAGCAGCAGTTCTGGTACGAGGTGGTCCTCAACGCCACGGCCCACATCCAGGAGGGGGACGAGCACCTCATCCTGCATCTCACCCTGGGCACCTTGGCCACGTGGTGCCTCCTCTTCGTCATCCTCGTCTCAGGCCTGAAGCTGTCCACGCCGGTAGGCCGCCCCGCCCCTGCTCCGCCTTCACAGACCTCGAGGTCCCAGCTCCTTCCGATGCCTCCCTTGTCCACCCCCCACGCCCTGCACTCCCCAGACGGCAGCCTCCGATGGGGCCCCCCCGCCTCTCCAGCAGGCCCCCCCCCCTCACCCCCCCCCCCCCGCAGCTGTGTCAACCCCATCCGCTCACAGGGGCTGCTCCTCTCCCACCCTGGCGGAAGGAGCGCCCCCTGCTGCCCAGCCCCGTCACCACCGCCCCCATCCCCGGTCACTGCCCTGGACACACTCTGAGCCTCCCAGCTCCCACCTTCCTGCGTTTTTTAAAAATATGCTTTTATTGATTTCAGAGAGGAAGGGAAAGAGAGAGAGAAACACCCATGAGGAAGAGCATCCTGGGTGGGCGGCCTCCTGCACGCCCCACCCGCCCCACCCTGGGGACGGAGCCCGCAACCCCGGGCCTGTGCCCTTGACCGGGAGTCGAGCCTGTGACCTCCTGGTTCCTAGGTCCACGCTCAACAGCTGGTCGATGTTTCTCTCTCATCGAAGTTTCTAACTCACTATCCCCTCTCTCTTCCTCTCTGTAAAAAAATCAATAATATATATATATATATATATATATATTTTTTTTTTTTTAGAGAGAGGAAGGGAGAGGGATAGAGAGTTAGAAACGTCGATGAGAGAGAGTCATCGATCAGCTGCCTCTTGCACACCCCTACTGGGGATATGCCCGCAACCAAGGTACATGCCCCCGACCGGAACTGAACCTGGGACCCTTCAGTCCACAGGCTGTCGCTCTATCCACTGAGCCAAACCGGTCAGGGCCAATAAAATATATTTTTTTAAAAACAAAACAAAACAGCCGAAACCGGTTTGGCTCAGTGGATAGAGCGTCGGCCTGCGGACTGAAGGGTCCCGGGTTCGATTCCGGTCAAAGGCATGTACCTGGGTTGTGGGCACATCCCCAGTGGGGGGTGTGCAAGAGGCAGCTGATAGATGATTCTCTCTCATCGATGTTTCTAATTCACTATCCCCTCTCTCTTCCTCTCTGTAAAAAAATCAATAAAATATATATATTTTAAAAAACAAAACAAAACAAAAAAAAGCAACACGCAAACACAAAACTCTCTCTCCCCAGTTTCTCCTCCTCCTCTCTCACCTATGAAGTGTCTCCCTCAGCCTTCGGCCCCATGGCTCCTCCCCCCTCACTGTTCAGAGGCCGGAAAAGCCAAGGTCCATGATGAATAACCAACTGCCCGCCATCGAAAAGCCATCTGTGTTTGTGATCTCTCGCCCCCCCTGTTAGGGGACCCCTCCCCCCAAACGCCATGGTTGTCTCCATGGAAAATCCTCCCAGAGGCCCCTCGTAACACCGCTCACCCCACTTCTCCGCCCCTGCCCGCCTACAGCCCCCTGCTCACGCTGGCCTCTGTCTTCCCTCCTTCCCCTGCTCCGGCCTCCGGCTCCCGCCCGGCCCGCCCGGCCAGTTCCTGGTCTTCACGGTCTTCCTCCCCTCCTTCTTCATCGGCCTCCTCATCCGCTGCCTCTTCCTGGAAGGCGCGGCCGCCAGCCTCAAACGCATGGTCACGTTGGAGGTGAGGCGGGGGCTCCACACCTCCCTCCCTTCCTCCCTCCCTCCCGCCCTCCCTCAGGGCTTCTCCGGACGCCCTTCCCCTCCATCCTCTCTCCTCTGCCCGGCCTGCCCCCTCTTTCCCCGCTCCCTGTGGGGGTCCCACACCCGAACCGCTGGGCCCCCCTCCCTCCCTGCGCAGCACACGTCCTGGGCCTCGCTGGACCTGTGGCACCAGGCGGGGGGCCACGTGCTCTACTCGCTGGGCCTGGGCCTGGGCACCACCATCAACATCTCCTCCTCCAAGGCCGGCAGCAACAGCTCCGTGGTGGGCGTCCTGTGCATGACCGTCGTCCACCTGGCGGCCTCGCTGGTGGCCACGGCCATCGTCTTCGCGGTGGCGGGTCACTGGGTGGGCACCAGCGGCCCCGCCTGCATCGAGAAGTGAGTCCTCGCCGCCCGGGTCCGAGAAGAGGTCTCCCTCCCTCCCTCCCTCCCTCCCTCCCTCCCTCTGCCTTAGCAACTCCCCCAGCTCACAGCTCCCCAACAGTGAGTAATAATAATAATAACCTCGAGCCCTAACCAGTGTGGCTCAGTGGATAGAGCGTCGGCCTGCGGACTCAGGGGTCCCGGGTTCGATTCCCGTCAAGGGCATGTACCTTGGTTGCGGGCACATCCCCGGTAGGGGGTGTGCAGGAGGCAGCTGATCAATGTTTCTAACTCTCTCCCTCTCCCTCCTCTCTGTAAAGAAAAAAAATCAATAAATAATATGTATATATTTCTAAAATAATCTCTCTATATAAAAGCCCAGCGACCAGAACTGCCAGAGGACCAGACGACTGCTGGCTATGACACACACTGTGGCAGCCAACCAGCCTGTCCCCGGCCCTGACCACCCCCACAACCAGCTCGGCCCTGATTTGCCCCCAACACCCTGACCGGGGGTGGGGCCACCCGCCCTACCACCCACGGCCCCTCCCCCCTCCTGCTGGCCTGGCCTGACGGGCCCCCATCGGGGTGGGCCGGCCGGACCCCACCCACGCACAAATTGGAGCACCAGGCCTCTAGTGATAATAATAATAATAATAAATAATAATAATAATAATAAGTGTATACTAATAGGTCAGAGAAAACAGCCAGAAAGGCAGTAGGCTAATAGCCACCACTTTATAGGTAAGAAAATGGTCTCAAAGACGTGACCTCTAAAGGTTTCCATAAGTTACAAATGGTGTAAAGACTTCACAGTCAGTCCCTGAACTCACACAGGAGGCAGCTGCGGCATTCTGAGCCCCAATCCGTGATCATGGGCCCGGGCTGCGCACTGGGACGATTCTGCCTTCGGAGACACCTGTCTGAGGCAGCCGAGAGGCTGGGCTCCCTGGGCCTGGGTGCACTCAGCGGCTGGGATTTCTGAAGCTCCGCGGTGAGACTGGCCTTCCAGTTCGGATGTGGAAGGATGCGAAAGTGCCTGCTTCCATGGCAGCAGCCATTTTTAAAAAACATATTTTTTTTTTATTGATTTCAGAGAGAGAGAGAGAGAGAGGGGGGAACATCAGTGATGAGAATCATCGATCGGCTGCCTCTTGCATGCTCCACACTGGGGAGTGAGCCCACAGCCCAGGCGTGTGCTCTGGATCGGAATCGAATCTGTGACTCTTCAGTCCGCAGGCCGATGCTCCATCCACTGAGCCAAACCAGCTAGGGCGGTAGCAGCACTTTTAAAGATGGATTAAAATCGTCATATTTTCCTATAAGCTACTGAAGAGCAGGGGCACAGAGACCTTAGTGAAATAAATCCCAGAGGGTAACGAGCCCAGCATCGGTGAGCAAAGAGCCACGCGTGTGTCTCTCTGGGGAGGAGTCTGTTCGGGGCCGTGTGAGTGTCCCGGACGGAGTGAGGGCACAGGCAGGATGGGGCCGTCCGCGCTGGGACCGTCGCTATTGGCTGCCAACGGGTATTGGACATTCAAAGAGCCCAGCACAGAGATAAGTTCCTGAAGCACCCATTTTCCTGACTCTGGTCCAGGAATTTTGTTAAGGAAGAAGCAGAAGGAGACAAAGCAAGCAGAAGTGTGCATAGGTTTTTGTTTTGTTTTGTTTTTTAATATATTTTATTGATTTTTTTTACAGAGAGGATGGGAGAGGGAGAGAGAAACATCAATGATGAGAGAGAATCATTGATTGGCTGCCTCCTGCAACGCCCCCTTCTGGGGATCAAGCCCGAAATCCAGGCCTGTGCCCTTGGTCGGAATCCAACTTGGGACCCCTCATTCCACAGGCTGACGCTCTATCCACTGAGCCCAACCAACGAGGGCCCTATTTTCTTCTTAAAAAAAAAAAATTTATTGTAGAAAGTATTACATATGTCCCCTGCCTGTTCCCTCTTTTCATCTCCTGTGGCATTCATTTCAAAAATGCCTATCAGACATTTCTTTAAAAAACATATACATATTTTATTGATTTTTTACAGAGAGGAAGGGAGAGGGAGAGAGAGTTAGAAGCATCAATGAGAGAGAAACATCGATCAGCTGCCTCCTGCAACCCCCTTACTGGGGATGTGCCCGCAACCAAGGTACATGCCCTTGACCGGAATTGAACTTGGGACCCTTCAGTCCGCAGACCAACGCTCTATCCACTGAGCCAAACCGGCCAGGGCTGGACAAGCTTCTTGAGAGGCACAAATCGTCTGCCCCTTAGGTGGGCCTCCCAGGGTGCCTCACCCCCCGTCCATGTGCTGTGTGTCCGGCCCCTGTCCAGCTGCCCTGGCCGTGGGCAGCCGTTCCCGCCCTCAGTCCCCTCGTTTGTCAGCAGCCGAGCGGCCAGAGGGTCTCCATGGCCTGTCCTCTCCGCCCCTTCCCCCTCAGGAGCATCCTCGCGGTGAATAAACTAATAAAAAGGGGGCTGCTGCCCCAGGACGTGAGCCCGCCCCCGGGCGTCCTGGCCCCGCTGGACTACCTCACGTGGGTCAGCAGCCTCCCCAAGCACCTCCAGTTCCAGGTCATCCAGGCCTCCCCGTCCTGCAGCATCGAGGTCCTGAGCAGAGAGGTGTGTTGGCAGCGGGGCGGACAGGGGTGGGCGGCAGGGGGCATCCCAAAGGCCCCAGAGGACACTGGGAAACGTATTTCTCAGGAGTCTCACGGGCCACCCAAGCATCTTATCATGCAGGAAACGGTTGTAATCACATTCCCACCACCATTTAAAAAATAAAAAATAAAAAATTAATTAAATATATATATATATTTTTTTTTTTTATTGTTTTTTTTTACAGAGAGGGATAGAGAGCTAGAAACATCGATGAGCCGAAACCGGTTTGGCTCAGTGGACAGAGCGTCGGCCTGCGGACTGAAAGGTCCTGGGTTTGATTCCAGTCAAGGGCATGTGCCTTGGTTGCGGGCACATCCCCAGTAGGGGGTGTGCAAGAGGCAGCTGATCGATGATTCTCTCTCATGGATGTTTTTAACTCTATCCCTCTATCCTTCTCTTCCTCTCTGTAAAAAAAATCAATAAAATATATATATTAAAAAAAAAATAAAGAAACATCAATCAGCTGCCTCCTGCACACTCCCCACTGGGGATGTGCCCACAACCAAGACACATGCCCTTGACCAGAATTGAACCTGCGCCCCTTGTGTCTGCAGGCCGACGCTTTATCCACTGAGCCAAACCAGCTAGGGATCCCACCACCATTTTTTTTTAATATATTTTTTATTGATTTTTTTTTTTACAGAGAGGAAGGGAGAGAGATAGAAAGTTAGAAACATCGATGGAAGAGATATATCGATCAGCTGCCTCCTGCACACCTCCTCCTGGGGATGTGCCGCAACCAAGGTACATGCCCTTGACCGGAATCGAACCCGGGACCTTTCAGTACGCAGGCCGAAGCTCTATCCACTGAGCCACACCGGTTTCGGCCCACCACCATTTTTGTGTGGACCAGGGCCTCGGCTAGGTTGTCACTCTACTTGAAATCTCACACAGATCCTAGGACCCCTCCCCCTGTCCCTCCCTCCCTCGTCCCCCCCGGAGGAAATGGGAGGCCCCAAGAGTGAAACTCACACAACTTAGGAAACCGAGAAGAGCAAACACTCAACCATCCACCCCATCGCCCGCCTCCCGCCTCTGCCCAGGACAGACATTGCTAATGGACCACCGCAGCATCCCCCCCCCCCACTTCCCATCGCCCGCCTCCCGCCTCTGCCCAGGACAGACATTGCTAATGGACCACCGCACCATCCCCCCCTCCCCCATCCAGACCCGCCCGGCCTGAGCCCTCCTCCCCGACAGTTCTCGCAGGGCCCTGGCCTGGCGTTCCCAGCCTTCTCCGAAGCCGTCGCCATGCTGCCTGGCGCCCCGTTCTGGGCCTTCGTCCTCTTCCTGACGCTGGCCGTGATCCAGCTGACCACCTTGGTCAAGGTCGTGGAGAGCATCGTCTTTCCCCTCCACAGCGTCATCTCCTCCTTAAAGAGGCTGCCCGTGATGTTCCCAGGTACCTTGGGTCCCGCTGCCTCCCCTCCCGACCTCCAGGGCTGGCCCGGGCCCCGGCCCCGGCCCCGCCCGGTGACCTCAGCGGCCACACCGCCTCTGCCTCTGCCTAGCGGCCGTCTGCCTGGGCGGGTTCCTGGGCAGCCTGGTCTTCACCAGCAAGGCCGGCAGCTACATCATGTCTCTGTTGGACGAGACGCTGGTCCCGCTGACCCTCATCGTCATCGTGGTTCTGCAGAACATGACCCTGGCCTGGATCTACGGAGCTTCCAGGTGATGTCCAGCCCCCGGGGCTGCCCGGCCTGGAACCCCACCCCGGCTCTCCGAGCGGGCGGAGCTGGGCACCCTCTGAGAGGCACAGCCGGGGGGTCCCAGCCGTCAGGACCCCGGGAAAGGGGGCTCGGGTTCCCCTGCCATTGCCCACAGGAGCTTGTCTCCCCCGCCCCCCGGTGGATTGGGGGGTTCCTCGGGGAGGACCAGATGCAGGGTCCAGGCTTGGGAAGGGCCTGTCAGGACTCAGCATCCCCCGGGAGCGGAGGGCTTTGGAGGGAGCCAGAGAGCCGGCGGGCCTGCCTTCCCAAGGGCTCGGTCCCACAGGCCCCCGTGCCCATCGCGCCCGCCGCCCCCACCGCAGGTTCCGGGAGGAGATGTACGGCGACCTGGGCCGCTTGCTGTGGTCCTCCTGCCCCTTTCTGTGGTGCTACGTGACCATGCCCGCGCTGCTGGTCCTCCTGGCCTTCGGCCTCATCCGCCTCTACGGCAAGGTGCCCCCCTCCTACATCGCCTGGAACAGCAGCACCGTGAGCCGGGCCCCTGCTCCCTCCGGGGACCCTGTTAGGCCGGATCCCCTGCCCGTCCGGTCCGGGGCGGAGAGGACCTTGGCTCTGCCCGGAAAGGAACCGGGTGGGGCGTGCGGAAAACTTACCTAGCAACCGGTGACGTCAGCCAGCGGGGCCCCCGGCAGGCCCCGGGCCGCCACCCCGGGGACCCGCTCCACCAGCCTCCCGGCCCCTCGGGGACTCTGGCCCTCCGACATGACACGGACCAAAAAAAAACAAAACACGCCCTCGCTCCTACCTCTTTCTTCCTCCCGCCTCCAGGGCCGGGAAATGGAGCAGCCCTACCTGCCGAGCGCCCTGGTCTGGATCACCTTCCTCGGCGTCCTCGTCCTGCTGCCCATCCCCATCTACCCGCTCCAGCACTGGTGGCACCTGCAGGACCGCATCGCCAGCCACCCCTTCGAGAAGCTCCTGGCCAAGAAGTCCGCCCGGCCCTCCGACTGGCCCAAGTTCCCGCCGGCGGCCAAGCCCACCTTCCGGGAGAGGAGCGAGAACTCGGTGGTGATGAGGCCCAGCGCGCTCACCGCGGTCGCGGTCGGGGAGGCGGACGAGAAGCCCGAGTGGCTGGAGGAGCTGCCCTGGAGACGGCGGACGGAGAGCTACTCGGGGTTCAGCCTGCCCTTCCTCCCCTCCGTGCCGTCGTCCGCCTCCCTGAGCCTGCCCGCCAGCCCGCAGGCGAGCGCGGCCACCGTGGGCGCCGTCGAAGGCCTAGAGAGGCGCGGGACCAAGGCGGGCAGCTTCCCCAAGAAGCCCGCCCCCTAGCCGGAGGCCACGCCCACTTCCCCCGGGGAGCGACTCCGTCCGACCAATGGCGGCCTCGGAGCCTGTCTGGGGGCAGGAGTCATTGGCTCAGCCGGGGAGGAAGAGGAGGGGCGTGCGGGAAAGCTTACCTAGCAACCGGTGACGTCACTCAGCGGGCGCCACCGCAGGCTCGCTCCTCTCTTGGAACAGGAGCGATTCTACGTTCAGGGGGGACCCCTCTCCGCTCTGAGACTGGATAACCCGGAAGAAGAGCCAACTGGCCTGCTCACAGGGCTGGGCCTGAGGCCCCCTTTCCTCCCTGTGAAGTGGGAGCACCCTGGGGGCCTGATGGGGAGGGCCATCCCAGGACTTTCCAGGACCTGACTCCCCAGTTATGGAGACAGACACCCCCAACCCCAACCTCCACCACCCAGCTGGGGGGCCGCCCTCTCAGAACCCGGGGGGCGGAGTGGCTGACACAGCAATGCTGTGGGTCAATAAAGCAGTCCGCTGGGACTAGTGTTCTCTCTGTGAGCGACCCCCCCACACCTCCTCCACCTCCACCCCCACCCCAACCCCTGCCACACACGCCCCCTCCAAATCGCCAGGCCCCGGTGAACTGAGTGTCCAATTGGTGACTCCAGTCTCCCTTCCAGGCACAGAGACTGAGTTTCTAGACCCTCTCCTTGTCCTGGGGTTGAGCCAAACTGTGGGGCAACTTGCCTAGCAACCGGTGACGTCACTCAGCTGGGCCCTGGCAGGAACCGGGCCACCCCATCAGTATCCCTCAAACTAGGACATGTGTTAACCCCTAAAATCCACGTTGGCAACTGGGGACCCTACGGAATCTGTCCCAAACTGTCATCTCACCGCTACCACCGAGACGGTAGCCTGCCTAGACTCACCTGGTGCTAGGCTTTGTTTTTCCTTGGGGTAGAGTGTCCCCCACGTGGGCCTCGGAGGTGGGTCGCCTGGGTTCCGCGGGCTCAGGACCAAGGCTGCTGGAGAGCTCGGGGCTCGTTAGCGTTGTCTGCCGGAGAGGGTAGCACCGCCCTGTCCCGGTTGCCAATGTAGATTTTAGTCACTAGGAAGCAGCCGCGTTGAACCACGCTAGACACATCTACACTTGGTAACCAAACTCCTGACTATGCTGTGGTGGACCAGGAGGTAGAGTCAGAAACATATTTTTGAACTGATTTTTAGGAAACTGTTGCCACAATAATGCCAGATGCCTGCAGATGGCGGGAAAAGTGGGGAGACCCGTCCAATACCTTAACTATCAACTGCCTGCAATAGGGCTGATGGGTGGGCTGGTTGCTGCACCCTAATGGATGCCATCAGCATTTTTATTTAAAAAATATATGTTTTTAATTGATTCAGAGAGGAAGGGAGAGGATGAAAGAGATAGAAACATCAATGATGGGGGAGAACCACTGATCGGCTGCCTCCTGCATGCCCCGCACTACAGATGGAGCCAGAAACCTGGGCATGTGCCCTGACCGGGAATGGAACCATGACCTCCTGGTTCAAAGGTTGACATTCAGCCCCTGAACCATGCCAGCCATCAGCATTTTTTTTTTATTGATTTTTTGAGAGAGAGGAAGGGGGAGGGAGAGAGAAATATCAGTGCAAGAGAGAAACATCCATTGTCTGCCTCCTTCACACACCCCGATGGGTGATGGGATACACAGCCTGGGTTATGTGCCCTGGCTGGGACTCAAGCTGGCGACCATTCGGTTCACAGAACGACACTCAACCCACTGAGTCACACAGGCCAGGACCATCAGCTTTTAACTTAGCTCAACAGGTAGCAAACCAGGCCCAGTGGATTGTGGGAACCTCTGGAAATGGAGGGTTGGGGTGCATGCTGAGCCAGTGGCTTTGCTTCAGGCAGTAAAGTGGGGGACAGCCTTCCCTCCAAAGGGGTAACTGCTACTTTTCTATTGCAAAACAGATATATGGGGACCAGACCAACTGCACCCCCAAATATACTGTGTACACTTCACCATTTCAGACCTTACTAGCTGTCAGGTTTGAGCTGGCCTACTCCAAAATGGAAACTCCAAAATGGCCGCTGGTTGCTTTCAAGGAGAGCTTAATAGCTGCCTTTTCTTTTTTTAAGAAAGGGAGGATTTTTATTGATTTTTTTTACAGGGAGAAAGGGAGAAGATAAAGAGCAACATCATCAGCTGCTTCCTGCATGACTCTCACTGGGGATGTGCCCACAACCACGATACAGGCTCTTGACCGGAATCGAACCTGGGACCCTTCAGTCTGCAGGCTGACGCTTTATCCACTGAGCCAAACCAGTTAGGGAATAGTTGCCTTTTCTTAAAAGGGGTGTACTTGGCCCTTGCTGGAATGGCTTGGATAGAGTCAGCCTGTGGACTGAAGGGTCCCAGGTTCAATCCCCAGTCGAGGCACATGCCCAGTAGGGGGCATGCAGGAGTAGCCAATCAATGATTTTTTTTTTTCCTCTCTTTCATCATTGATGTTTCTATCTCTCCCTCTTCCTCTCTGAAATCAATAAAATATTTTAAAGGGGGTGTAATGGTGGCTACCTCCGGCAGGTGGCGCTGTCGTACTGGGAAATGGTCTCTGTATTCAGCTGTGAGATATTATTACCTTTAGGTTTCCCTTTCTCCTTCTGGTTTCTGCATTGCTCCTGTAGACCCCCACCTCCGAGAGGACCGCACATACTGCAGGTGCTGGGTGGCAGACGCCGATGCTTATAGGATATCCACAGTGTGAGCATGTGAGACAACAGTGTCAACTCTCCCTTCCATTGTGGAAGCCACTGGATGGTGTGGCTCAGTGGTTGGTTGAGCATCAACCTATGAGCCTGGTTGTGGGCTTGATCCCCAGTTTAGGGAGTACAGGAGGCAGCCAGTCAAGGATTCTCTCTCATCATGGATGTTTCTATTTCTCCCTTTCTCTCTGAAATCAATAAAAAATATATTTTTTTTAAATAGTGAAGCCCTAACCGGTTTGGCTCAGTGGATAGAGCGTCGGCCTAAGGACTGGAGGATCCCAGGTTCGATTCCAGTCAAAGGCATGTACCTTGGCTGCAGGCACATCCTCAGTAGGAGGTATGCAGGAAGCAGCTGATCGATGTTTCTCTCTCATCGATGTTTCTGACTCTCTCTTCCCCTCTCCCTTCCTCTCTGTAAAAAAACAATAAAATAATTTAAAATATCAGCAATCCCACTTCTAGGTGTATACATTATACCCCAAAGAACTGAAAACAGGCCTTCAAAAAAACATGTAGCTCTAGCTGGCTTGGCTCAGTGGATAGAGCATTGGCCTGCAAACTGAAGGGTCACAGGTTCGATTCTGGTCAAGGGCACAAGCCTGGGTTGTGGGATCAATCCCCATTGGGGGGCATGCAGGAGGCAGCCAGTCAATGATTCTCTCTTATCACTGATGTTTCTATCTCTCTGTCCCTCTCTCTTCCTCTCTGAAATAAATAAAAATATATTTAAAAAAATAAAAATAGAAGACATGTACATGAACATTCACAGCAGCATTATTCATAACTGACCAAAAGTAGAAACCACTTAAATGTCTGTCAGCAGGTGAATGGGTAAAATAAAAGTGACATACCCATACTATGGATAGTATTCAGCCACAGAAAGGAAGTTCTGATATGACATGAGTCAACTTTAAAAAGACTGGGCTAAGTGAAAGAAGTCACACACAAAACATTACAATTACTCCACTTATTTTTATAAATATATTTTCATTTATTTCAGAGAGGAAGAGAGAGACAGAAACATCAGTGATGAAAGGGAATCATTGATTGGTTGCTTCCTGCACATTGGACCGAGCCTGCCACCCAGGCATATGCCCTTGACCGGAATCAAACCTGGGACCCTACGGTCCTCAGGCTGATGCTCTATCCCACATGTGTCAAACACAAGGCCCGCGGGCCAAATCCGTCCCGCCAGGCCTTGCAATGTGGCCCGCACCGCGCTGTCATCACTGCACTCCGCTGCGTTTCCATCACAATGACAGTTTATGACTGTTCAGTAAACCATTCGGCCCGCGATTTAGGCTGGATTTTAGATTTTGGCCCCTTCTCTGATTGAGCCAAACCAGTGAGGCCATGATTCCACTTCCATAAAACTAGAGGCCCGATGCACAAAGATTTGTGCAAGAATAGGCCTTCCTTCCCCTGGCTGCCAGCACTGCCTTCGCTCTGGCCAGAGCCATGCTTCTGCCTTCCCACTCTGCCCAGGGGCCTGGGGTACCTGTGTATGCAAATTAACCTTCCATCTTTGTTGTGTTAATTTGCATACTCACTCCTGATTGGGTAGTGGGTGTCACAAAGGTATGGTCAATTTGCATCTTACTCTTTTATCAGTGTGAATATCCAGACTAGGGACAGCAGCATCAGCTTGAGTGGAAGTCCCCTCTGTGGGACACGCTGTGTCCAAGATCCAGAGGCTGGACCTTGCTGGACCTTCTCCATAGTAGAGGCCGCAGAACCAACAGCTCATTCTTTCCTTTTTTTCTTTTCTTTTCTGTTGTTTGTTAATCCTTACCCGAGGATAATCTGGTTGCCACACAACACTTGGCAATGTTTCAAAGCCACTCTGCACCCAAAGAGGCAGATAGTTGGAATTCCTCCAATTGGGGTGTTCTGGTTGTGATGCTGGATGTGTTGCTTGTTGCTGGCTCTCCTGCTATTTAACTAATAATTGCTGTCGGGGCAGCCTTGTCATTACCAGTTTAGTCTGTTATGGGTTGTTTAGTTAAACTGCACGGATAATGATGCATATTTGCTTCAATTCCATGTGCGCGTGGCCTGTAATTTCCCACTAATTAGACTTTTTAAAGACACATAGGCAGTTATCCACTCAGATTTGCATCGTCTGCTCCCCCGTTGCCAAAGCAGATGTACACGGCGCCCACCCTCCCCGCTCGCTCCAAGAACTAATTTGCTTCCATCACCGAGTTCTGGAAAGTAGGAAGCAGGGGGTTGCGGGTAGTTCTTGTCCCACTGACGCGAGAGCCATCAAAAGAGTGCAGACAAGAGGGGCCGGACCAGAGTCAGATAGGAACAGTGGGGCTCAGAGGAGGCACAGACCCCCCAGGTATCTGCAGTACAGCAAACAGACCAAGGATCACAAGCCCACCCCCAGCTGTAACCCCTATACCCGAAGGATCTGGACAGACACCACTAGATTCCCAAGAATCAAGCATCCAGCCGAAACCGGTTTGGCTCAGTGTTAGAGCGTAGGTCTGCGGACTGAAAGGTCCCAGGTTCAATTCTGGTCAAGGGCATGTACATTGGTTGCGGGCACATCCCCAGTGGGCGGTGTGCAGGAGGCAGCTGGTCAATGTTTCTCTCTCATGGATGTTTCTAGCTCTCTATCCCTCTCCCTTCCTCTCTGTGGAAAATCAATAAAATATATTTTTTAAAAGAATCAAGCCTCCAGACGCTCACGTGGCTTTATTTC